CATGATAACAACCATGATAACAACCATTATATCAACCCAAGCCTAAATCAACAAATTGGCACGCAAATTTCATAATACAAACCCACGCCTAAATCAACACATTAGCACTATTTAGCACACATATTTCGTCATACCAACCCTAACATAAATCAACACATTAGCACACAACTGTTTCAAGTATCATAGAGTTAACACAAAGTTTTAGATCAGATGACCCACAGGGCAGATGAAATAGCGTTAACCTGTATCTATTAACCCCATTTAGAGCTAAGTACTCATTAGAACTGATTGGTCTCAGGAAGTCTATACGGGTCTATGAACTCGAAACTTTCGTGATAGTAGTCTTAGGCTCTACCGCTCGATCAGGTTAATAAAACGTAGTCGTATACATATACAAATGTTATTCTCGTTTTGATGTATAAAGAATATGCGTTAGTAACCAAAAGGGACACCATAGTTAACTCATACAATGTAGGACTTATACATACGAGACAGTGGCGTAGCGAGGTCGGGTGTCACCCGGTGCGGCACTTAATGATGTCACCCCCCCCCCCCAGAGGCGTAGCGACCCTTCCCGGGACAAACTTTCAAATTTTCGATTTTATGCACCCCACTCAAACCTTCGATTTGCACCCCCCCCCCCCCTCCTCAAGTTTTCAATTTGCAACCCCCTTCAAACTTTCGAATTGCACCCCCCCCCCTCAAGTTTTTCTCTATATATTTTGCTATTTTTTACCTTGGTGTCACCCCCCTAAATGGTGTCACCCGGTGCGGTCCGCACCCCCCGCCCCCCCCCCCCTCGCTACTTCTCTGATACGAGATATTATGTCTGTTAGATACTGTTTTTAAATAATTTTTTCTCGGAAATTTTTTTACCAAATGCTCACAATTCAAACAAAAATAATTAATTATATTTTCTAAAGCCAAGCTACAAAAAATTATTTGTTTTAATACTGCTGTTTGTCATAGTTTACATGAATGGGAACGACCTAACGCTACCCCATTTTAATTTACTTCCTGTGTCTGTAAAACTATACACATAGAGCAGTGGTTCTTAATCTGGGTTCGATCGAACCCCAGGGGTACGATGAGTTAGTTTGAGGGGTACAGCAGAGATCAAGACACACCCCAGTCTCATATGATTCACAATCGGGTTTTGTCATTGCGGACGATAGGGTTCAGTGAGTGCGCATATGAAACGGGTAGGGTTCGGTACCCCCAAATAGGTTAAGAACCACTAACATAGAGAAATAGTTCAGCATGTCGATGTGACACCATTGGAAGTGTAATTAGTTCGATGATTGACTAATTAACGTGCTGGACAAGGCCACATAGGGGATGGTGTGGTCGGGAAATAGAGCGCACGACTGCTCATCTGAAAGTCTTGAGTTTGGATCTCGGGCTCACGTCCGTAGAACGTCCCCGAATCCATCGATCTCTGACGGGTACCTGATTCACATTATTATATTATTATAGAAAGTAAAGACGGCAGGGTTACCGCGCTTTGTGAGTTGCTCGAACCTTGCATTAGTTAGCTCCCTACTTATGTGAGTTGCTCGAATGTTAGCTCCCTACATAGCTGTTTGACTGAAAGCGTTATACAACTACTCGTGTCTCCGGTGATTGTTATCGTTTTAAACATCCGTTAACTGTCTTAGAGGTCAAGTAGTGGTCTGTTTCCTGGCAGTGTGTGTCTGTATCTGTCTGTGTGTGCGTTCGTGCGGGCATGCGTGCGTGTGTGCGTGTGTGTGTGTAAAAAATCAACAAAGTAGTTAACCCCTTGGAATCTGACGGTCACTTGGGCAGATGAAGTAGAGTACACCTATTTCTAGTTGGCAACTTGTGCTTGTGACTAGCTGTATTTTGGTTAGTTCCATCAACGGGTGTGTGTGTGCATGTGTGTATGTGTAAAATCAACAAAGTAGTTCACATTTCGGGTGTGAAGGTCAGTGGGGCAGATGAAGTAGAGTGCAGCTGACAATATTTGTTTAGGTACATCATCAGTTGTGTGAGTGTGTGTGTGTGTGTGTGTGTGTGTGTGTGTGTGTGTGTGTGTGTGTGTGTGTGTGTGTGTGTGTGTGTGTAAAATCAATTAAGTAGTTTCACCCCCGGATATGACTAGCAGTGGGGCAGGTGAAGTAGTTCTGTGAACTCAGCAACACTTGTTTGTGTCCTGACTACCATCAACGGATTTTCTTGTGTCTTTTTTGAAAAATCAGCAAAAGTGGTTACACTTCGAATCTGACGATGGTTAGGGCAGGTGAAGTAGAGTGCACCAGTTTTTTTCTTAACAGATGATAAAGTATTTTAGTTCTATACGCATATCCTTGAAATTTACATCGAGTGAGAGAAAGGGCAGATAGGCAAAGATAGCTGATATTCTCATGCTAATAATTGTTTCGTAGAAATTCTATTTCCAGTTTTTGTTTGCACCCACACGTTTTGCCTGTGGTTTTCCTCGTTTATTTTTGATCAATTACGTTCTTATCATGTTTTTCTATTTTTTTTTCGACAGTATAAACTCTAAATTTACCGCTTATATTCTGAATCATCACTCCAACGCATACATTTCTTTTTAAACCGGAAGATTAAAAAAAAACGTTATGTTTCATTGGTAAAGAAGCGAATCAAATCGGAATCATTGCTCGTCGTATTTTGTCTTGTTTTTTCACAACAAACTAAAATTAGCGCAAGGGTTTTCCCGATCATGCGTTTCCGACTTGTTTCGGTTCAGGCGCAATAAACTGTAAAGCCGCCCTCGTTTTTGTCCATGAGCTTTATTAGGATCAGTGGCGTAGCGAGGTCGGGTGTCACCCGGTGCGGCACTTAATGGTGTCACCCCCCCCCCCCCCCAGAGGCGTTGCGACCCTTCCCGGTGACAAACTTTCAAGTTTTCGATTTGCACCCCCCCCCTCAAGTTTTTTCTCTATATATTTTGCTATTTTTTTGCCTTGGTGTCACCCCCCCCTAAATGGTGTCACCCGGTGCGGTCCGCACCCCCCCGCCCCCCCACTCGCTACGCCCCTGATTAGGATCAACAAACGTCGTTCACGGACCGTTAAACATTAACGACACAATCTTACCAAGCCACGAACAGTTTGATTTAATGCCACAAAATGTAAAGTTAAGTTCAGGATTTATTTATTTTTAAATTTTAAAAGCCACCTTCTTTTATTTTGATCGTGATGGGACAACAGCTGAGTTAACACTACAGTGATGGGTTCGGTTCCTAAGCGGATCTATATATATATATATATATATATATATATATATATATATATATATATATATATATATATATATAAATATATTTATATATATATATATATAAATAGTATTTAATATGGTGACAGGGCAAGAGTTCAGACAAAATATCTCAACGACAAATGATCTCAGGACAAAATATAGCACGGCAAAAGATATCATGGAAAAAATAATTTAGCCGAAATATCTCAGATGAAAATATACCCCGCTATCCTAAACACCCTCCCAATGACTACAATCACTATTTGGACTAGACTTTCCAAAAAAAAAAAAAAAAAAAAAAAACAGCAATCGTATCAGTTTCAAAATATTTCCAAAAAGATAAAATTCACGTTACATCACGTTTCTCAACGTCCCCTCCCCCCCACCCCCAGAGTTTCTTCCAGGCATCTCTTCGGTGCCCCCCCCCTCCCCCTCCGCCCCCCGAACGAAGTGAAATTTATATAGAAAATATATACTTTTAACAGTGACCCCCCTCCGGAAAATTTTGTCCACCCTCAACCCCCCCCCCCCCCCCCCGAAAATTTCAAGTGCCCCCCGGAGAAAAAAAGTCTGGAAGAAACACTGTAATTACCCTATTGTCGTAAGAGGTCATGACCTCTAATCTCAACGGCTCTCTATTGATACGAGAGTCAGCGTGACATTACTACCATACGAAACTGCCTGGCGAAAAACCCGGAGCTGTGGGGGTTTTAGATTACAGTAATCAAATCAAATCTCAACATTGTTAAGCACGATGATATAAGGTGTAATTTAATTTCAGCATTGTTAATTAGCAATTAAAGACTTACTTACCTTAAACTTGATTGATGGCTTCTGTGAGTGCGGACTATTTTAACCCTCCGAGTCAGTGGCGTAGCGAGGTCGGGTGTTACCCGGTGCGGCACTTAATGGTGTTACCACCCCCCCCCCCCAGAGGCGTAGCGACCCTTCCCAGGGACAAACTTTCAAATTTTCGATTTGCACCCCCCCCCCTTGAACTTTCGATTAGCAACCCCCCCTCAAGTTTTTCTCTATATATTTTGCTATTTTTTGCCTAGGTGTCACCCCCTAAATGGTGTCACCCCGTGCGGCCGCACCCCCCCCCCCTCGCTGCGCCTCTGCTCCGAGTACCTCCATATACCTGCTGTGGTCTTATGCGGGGCATATGGTTGATGTTGTTAGTAATAGTGACGTTAAAGCTCAATGTTATTCTAATAAAAAATTTGAAATATTTGTTTGTTTTTCTCCACAGTTACTAACAAAATGTTAAAATTCTATCCCCCCCCCCCATCCGTTATCTATATTTTTTTTCTTCCCAGTTCCATAAAAATAAAAATGTTGAGATATCTATTGCCCCCCCCCCCCCGGTACTTACAAAATGTTGAGATTACTCCCCCCTTCTCCGTTACATCTATTGTTGAAATATCTATTTCTACTCCCCAGTTCAATAACAATATTTGAAATCTCTATTTTCCCCAGTTACATACAACTGTTGAAATATATATATTTTTTTCTTCCCCAGTTACGTCTAAAATGTTGAATATAAAATGTGTAGTCGTGGGAGACGGGTAAGTACCTATCACACGTTCTTTGTTTTAAAAAGAATCGTCTTTATGTAAGTACCTATCAGACGTACTTTGTTTTAAAAGGGAACGTCTTTATGTAAGTACCTATCACCCGTTTTAAAAGGGAATAGTCTTTATGTAAGTACCTACCACACGTTATTTGTTTTAAAGTGAATCTTCTTTATGTAAGTATCTATCACACGTTCTTTGTTTCAAAAGGGAATAGTCTTAATGTAAGAACCTATCACACGTTCTTTGTTTTAAAAGGGAATGGTCTTTATATAAGTACCTATCACACGTTCTTTGTTTCAAAAGAGAATCGTCTTTATGTAATCAGACAGGGATTACTTGATAGTTATGTTATATTGTTTATTTGTTGTCGAGTCGGTGATATAAATATTGTATGTTACATCGGTGTAGTGTTATAGAAATGAATGTTGTATGGAATAAGGGTGAGTTAGAGTATGCTCTCTATGGTCTATCCTTATTCTACCCATATAATATGACATAATCCTCCCTCTCTATCCCTATTCTATCCATACCATATGACAGAATCCTTCTATGGTTTATCCCCATTCTACTCATACAATCTTCTACATATATAATTCTCTTCTTGGATACCATAGAACACACCAAGCTGTAAGCGCGCCTAGCAGCCCCCTTTCTTCCTCTCTAGGCATATCCCTACCACCCCCACCCCCACATGGTATGGTGAGCTGTGGTTCACGCTAAATGTTTACAAGCGTAGAGGCGGGTTTAGTGACGGCTATTAGGGACAGATAATTTAGTTTGAAACGATTTTAAACTTATGGGAGGTAACTAAGAGGTGGCTGCTTTCACGGGGCGGGGGGAAGAGGTGTAGGGTAGGGGTTGGGGGAAAGGAGGGTGGGGGATTATCGTCCTTAACGACCTACTGATAGTGTTTAAAGCAAATATTTTCAGTGGCGGCATTGGTACTGTGGAATTCACAAATTATGAATTACTGAAAGGTAGAAAATAAAACAACTAAATAGCAGCATATGATACGCCGCGGGTCGGCTCGTATGACATAATCCTTCACTCTATGATCTTTCCCTATTCTACCCACCTAACTAGGGTGTGTTTTATCTTTAACAACTGTGTTTCTACCTCCGCATTTATGTATCTTACTTTTTATGTTGTTTCGTTTATTTTTAGCAGCCTGAGTGACTTTTTAAGTTGCCTGAAGTACCAATGCGTGAATGTGAGAGGAAGGGGTGGGAGTAAAGAGGTGGGAGTGAGGGGTTGGGAGGGGGTGGTAAAGACAATGGGAGCGAGGTCATGATGGTTGTTGGTTTAGTGTTGAGTTAAATGCTTCAAATGTGGGTGCGTGCACAGGTTTAAAATAACTCCCGGAAGTCAAAGTGTAACCATCTTTCTTGAAAAATGGGTCTGCAACAATTATTTTCCAAAAAGACACTTGCCCAGTGACCTTTTCTCCGAATGTGACTATTGTTAGAATATACTTTTGTCCGAATTGGTGTTTATACCGAGTTATTTGAAACTTCTTTTAGAAATAGGTGTTACATTTTAAATCGTGTACCAATCGACATGTTCGAGCATTTTTTAAGCTTATTTTTTTTACAAGCAGATGTTTAACTTGATTTCTCGTACGTACTTTTGTCTTCTTACTTTCCTTGTCCAATGTGTGACAAAACTTGCGAACGAAATTTCAACCACCTATGTCGAACCGATTTATTTCAAACTTGACACATGGGTCAAGATCGACGACATTGCAATGCGACTTGAACCTTTGAGATACATAAATGATTCACTAATTAATTTCAAATTAATCAAAGGTTGCAATATAAAGTATTAATATTTTGCCCTTTTAAGGGCAGGTTAAACTAGACAAAATCATATTTATTGTGTTCATTAGGCCTAACAGTGAGAACTCAATGAGCAGGTGGTTTTAGTAATTTTCTTTGTTTTTATTAAAACTACAAAATATTAAATAATGTTTTCTCCATTTTAGTGTATATATAATAGTGTATATATAAAACCTTGATGTTATAAAAAAAAAATTAAGCTTTGGTCGTTGTGATTTTTAGGTAGTTTTTTTTTCTTAAGTTTTGGTCGATTTCATTTTTCATCCGTTTTAAATGTAAGTCGCTCCGCCATTTCAACGCCGTTGGGTTTGTTTGCTTACATGTATATAATCAATAACATGTGTACTACTCTATCTAAGGGCATTTTAAATCTTTTCCTACTACCGCAAACAAAATAATAACTTGTTTTTCTGAAATTATTTTCCATTTTCGCTAATCTAAAATTAATGTGACTCCACCTAGATCTCGTCCACAAAAACCTAGACTTTATTCGATTGTTTTTTTTAAAACATTCGTGGACCTTCCTAGTTGTTCATCGTAAACAATAGCTGTAGGTGTCAAGACATTTGAGACGGGAGTTCAAGGAAACCCATTGAATTGTGTGTGTGTGTGTGTGTCTTTGTGTGTGTGTGTGTGTCTGTGTCTTTCCGTGTGTGTGTCACACTTCGTTAGCAGGATACAGAAATTTTCGTATGTCGAAATTGTTTCGTATGACAACGATTATCTGTCCTTGAAGGATGGAGAGAGAAAAATATTCTTGTGAATAGACCACTTCAAAGTAAAGTCAACTTTGAACCCTGATATATATATATATATATATTTTGTGGGGGGGGGGCCGATTAGATAAAGTGGAGTTCATATGTTGTGCGTGACTGCGTCCAAAATAAAAATCAGGTAAGTGAGGGGGTGGGGAGGGACATGTATTTCTTTGAGTGGGGTGGGTGGGGTTAGCCAGTGCAGTAATAAAATAGAACGATCGAATTTTGTTGTTTGTTTTGTCTTATGTAGAATCAGGAGAGGTTGTTCAAAAGAAACACAGTTAGGTCCCTTTGATCTCTGACTACTGAATTTCGACATGTAGCTACTGAATTTCAACCTGTAGCTGCTGAATTTCTACCTGTAGCTACTGAATTTCGACCTGTAGCTAGTGAATTTTGACCTGTAGCTACTGAATTTCGACCTGTAGCTACTGAATTTCGACCTGTAGCTACTGAATTTCGAACTGTAGACTGTAGCTTCTGAATTTTGACCTGTAGCTACTGAATTTTGAACTGTAGACTGTAGCTACTGAATTTCGACCTGTAGCTACTGAATTTTTACCTGTAGCTACTGAATTTCAACCTGTAGCTACTGAATTTTGACCTGTAGCTACTGAATTTCGACCTGTAGCTACTGAATTTCGACCTGTAGCTACTGAATTTTGACCTGTAGCTACTGAATTTTGACCTGTAGACTGTAGCTTCTGAATTTGGACCTGTAGCTACTGAATTTTTACCTGTAGCTACTGAATTTTGACCTGTAGACTGTAGCTAATGAATTTGGACCTGTAGCTTCTGAATTTCGACCTGTAGCTTCTGAATTTTGACCTGTAGCTACTGAATTTCGACCTGTAGCTACTGAATTTCGACCTGTAGCTGCTGAATTTCGACCTGTAGCTACTGAATTTTGACCTGTAGCTACTGAATTTCGACCTGTAGCTACTGAATTTCGACCTGTAGCTACTGAATTTTGACCTGTAGCTAGTGAATTTCGACCTGTAGCTACTGAATTTTGACCTGTAGCTAGTGAATTTCGACCTGTAGCTACTGAATTTCGACCTGTAGCTACTGAATTTCGACCTGTAGCTACTGAATTTCGACCTGTAGCTACTGAATTTTGACCTGTAGCTACTGAATTTCGACCTGTAGCTACTAAATTTTGACCTTAGCTACTTAATTTCAACCTGTAGCTAGTGAACTTTGACCTCCGGCTGCTGAATTTCGACCTTTGAAAGCTTCTAAATTTTTACATGTTACTACTGAATTTTGACCTGTGACTGTTGAATGAAAGCGGACGTATCTACCCCTACCCTCCACTGACCTATATTAATAATAAAAACCTCGCTGCAAGTTATTTTTAAATTTCGTGCCAATTTTAATGTGGGTCACCGGATTTAAAATCACGATGCTGTTTAATTAATGGTGGTCTTTGATGAGTCGTGACCCTCTATGTATCGCCTGATATCTAAATGACCCTTAACCTTTGAACCCAACACGGCTTCTAAAACCATATAACACAAAACAATAAGTCTAATCCTAAACATGTAACTTTGGGTAGGTTTCGGGCGGGGTTAGGCTAAGGATTAGGCTTGGATTAAAACCTTTGATGGGGCGAGAAATAAGACTAGGCTTTAGATTATGCTTTAGAGCTACGTAGTCGGGTCCGTAAAGCTCATGGCTGCTAAACCGAAAGGTCCGAAGTTCGAACCCCTAGAAAGATAAAGCTCGATATTTAGAGACTGCAACCAATCAAGGAGAGGCAACTCTTAAATCAAATAACTGCTACCATGGAAGCAAATCCAGATAGAAAAAAAGCAGGATGAATTCGGCGTCGACGTGCCGATATGTTTCATAAAAATGGACACGCGATCTTCAACTTTGTCGGAGTAAAACCAACATTACCAATAAGAACGAAGAAGAAAATTTATTTCTATTGATCGTGACTAATTTTCTAATTTTGGTGAGTCAATATTCCATTCTCTTCCATAAGGATCTTACAGTGCTATATAAACGGAAAAAATATGGTTTACAGCAATGTGCAGGCTATTGTAATAAGAGGTTTGTCTACTGTCTAGATGATGTGTTCATGTTTAATTTGGTAACCGGATTAATTAGAACTCTCACTAGTGCTTAGAACACTCTGGGTTGGGTGGTTGGTGTCAAGGGCGACCACATGACACGTAATCAAGTGACATCTTATCACGTGATATATTGTTACATGACATTTTATCACAGGGAACTTTATCACACGTTTTTAAAAATTGAAGTTTTATAATTTGACATTTTTTTTCATGTGATTTTTATCACACATTTTATCACATGTCATTTGTCGCATGCCGTTTAAATCATGTGACACGAAATAGCGGCGATCCACAGACACATCATGATGTCACCTTGTCAGCGACATGACATACCACCTAATGACGTCACCCCGTCAGTGACATAACATAATGACGTCATCTTGTCAGTGATGTAACACAATGACGTCACCTTGTCAGTGACATAAAATAATGACGTCACCTTGTCAGTGACATAACATCATGATGTCACCTTGCACGTGGCATGACGTGCGCGAGCGATAAACTACCGTGTATAGACGTGCGACGTCAATCACTGAACTCGTTAGCTAATTAATTAACGAGTGACGATTGCTTCGTACCACACGATCGGTCGCCATTATGGTCACGACAGAGACTTTGAATAAACCACACAAGTTTAAGTTAGATTAGACGTACCTAACCACGTAACCCCTGGTTCGGTGGTTGGTTTAGGCAGTGGCGTAGGCAGGGGGAGGGTTAGGGGGTCATAAACCCCCCCCCCCATAGACCCCTCGATATATAGAAAAAGTATGAGGGGGGGTGCAAATCGAAAGTTTGAGGGGGGTGCAAATCGAAAGTATGAGGGGTGGGGGTGCAAATCGAAAGTTTGAGGGGGGGGGGGTGCAAATCGAAAGTTTGTCCTCGGGTAAAAATTGGAACCCCCCCCCCCTTGAGACGATCCTGGCTACGCCACTGGGTTTAGGGTTAGATTAAGGTTTACGTGGAGGTAAAGTTAAAATGGTTTATGCCTATCCCTTATACTTTGTTATCGTATTCTGTATTGTAGAAGTGAATAGATACAAGAAAAGGATTAAAATTTGATTAGTTGCGATCATCAGAACCTCCCTCTAAAAAAAATCCGGCGGGTGCCCATGGGTCTAGTTAATCCCCAATGGCAGAGTTTCTTCAAGGCATCTCTTGGAGAGAGGGGGGGGGCATCCCGAAGAATGGCTAACGCCCCCCCCCTCCTCTCCTTTCCCCGAACGAAATAAAATTTATATAGAAAATATATACTTTTACCAGTGTCCGACCCACCCCCCTCGGAAAATGTCCACCCCCCTCCCCCCCCCCCCCCCGAAAATATCAAGTGCTCCCCCCCCCCTCCCCGGAGAAAAAAGCCTGGAAGAAACACTGGTGTTGTCACGTGATTATGTAACGAACAAGACTGGCGGTTTAGATTCTGATTTATTACCGTCTCTTGGTTTACTGCCCCTGTTTTCGTTCACCCCCCCCCCTCCCATTACAGTTCCCTCCCTTGATACTAAGTGCTGGCAGAGTTAAACATTGAGCCAGCAAAGTGTTTCGTAAGTGCACTGTCCCTGATCGACATGGTAGGGAGGGGGGGAGGGATTGTGTGCTACACAACACACTTCAATGACTGTACTTCCGGGCAGGCAGGCTGGCTCAGCTGTGTGTTGTTGACTGGTGTGTGAGTCGTGTGTATGTTGTGGTTAAAATATATATATATATATATATATATATATATATATATATATATATATATATATATATATATATATATATATATATATATATATATATATATATTATATGCTAAAGTAAATCAGCTGACTTGTAAATGATTTTTGGAGGTGAGAAGGGGCGGCAATGTTATATAAAACACACATTGTTGAAGAAAAAAAGTGTGTGTGTGGGGGGTGCTTAAACTCCTTGTCAGTACACCCTCTCAATTGAGCATTACGTGTCAACGTCTTAAGCCCCATATAGGCTGTTAACTTTGATTTCGGGGTGATTTTATTTCTAGGTGTTGTATTTGTCCACCCAAGAACATTTTAATTTTGGAGTTGTCTCTCCTAGATGAGTTGCTGTCCCCAGCTCTCAAGCCTCATCTGCAGTGTTTCTTCCGGACTTTTTTCTCCGGGGGGGGGGGGGCACTTGAAATTTTCGAGGGGGGGGGGGGGCGGTAGACTTTCTTCGGAGGGGGGCGGACACTGTTAAAAGTATATATTTTCTAGATAAATTATATAAATTTCATTTCGTTCGGGGGGGGGGGGGGGCGGTAGAATTTTTTTCAGGGGGGGGGGGATGCCTGGAAGAAACTCTGCTCATCTGCCCGGGACTTTTCAGTTGTGCAACCATGAGCTGACCGACAACGCTGACCGATTATTTTGATTGATTCCTTATTGCGATAGTCATTCTTGATTTAGGCAAAACTCACATCGTCCCATTACAGGGGTCTTCCATAAATGACGTCACACTCGTAAGGGGGAGGGGGGGTCCGTAATTTTGTGACGGTGTGTGATGAGGGGGAGGGGGGTTCCAGGTGCATAGCGACAGTGGGTGCCAAAATAAGCTCATTTTAGCTGCTATTTTGAATTATAAATATAAACAAACATATGAAGGGGGGGGGGGGCGCCAAATTGAAAGTTTGGCGCCGGGAGGGGTCGCTACGCCTCTGGGGGGGGGGGGGTCAGATGGTGCGACGTCACACTTTTGCATTATAAAAAAGCAATGTTAGAAAACTAATTTTAGACGTTATTTCGCGTTTTAGAAAACTGTTTTAATAAATTGTAATAGGAATTGATTAAAATACTCTATTTTGACAGATCTTAGACAAGATTTTAGAAAAACATTGTTTAAAAAAATTCAACTGCAATTTTGAGGAGGGGGGGGGGGTTGTAGGCTGAGGTGTAACGTCATTTTAGGGAGGGGGGGTCTGGCTTTTTGTGACGATGTGTGACGGAGGGGAGGTAAAAATCGTCAAAAAAAGCGTGACGTCATTTATGGATTACCCCCACAGTGCTCATATAAGTGTCAAATTTACCCTTTTTTACTTTCTCTTATATACGAAGTATAGAGAAAGTATTCTAATCGTGCAAAAAAAAAAATCGAGATTTTTACAAATCTCGACGTTTTACACCTCACTGATACGGAAAAACATAATTTTGCAATCTTGTCCGTATGTCTGTCTGTGTGTCTGTCTGTGTGTAAACACGATAACTGGAGTACCGTTACAGCTAGGTTGATGAAATTTCATATATAAGTATTGTATCAAAATCGTAGATCCGTATCAACTTTTGAGCGATTTCCGATAACCGGAAGTGATACTTTTTCTACTTTGAATTTTTTAAAAGCCTATAAAGCCTATTTCAGATAGATAAATGAAATTTCACATGTAAGTAAAAGATCTAACTTTCTACCTTCTGTTAAATTTTGAGTAATTTCCGTTGACCGGAAGTACTAATTTACGCTATTTCCGATTTCTCAAAAAACGCACGTAAATTTATAAAGTACTAATAACATTGCTCAATATTATGCACATTTTGTTTTGGCTTTCGCTTGGTGCGCAATTCTTTTTTCTATGAGATTCTATTCTATTTTTAAAAGTTTAAGTAATTAAAAATCATGTCTATATTCCGAGTTATATAAGAATATTCGAGAAAGTTTAGGAGAGATCACTCCCGGTTTTTTTAAAGCTTGACTTGAGAACCTCATGGATATGTAGTCTCATGATATAACTGGTCTATCACGCGGTGGGGGGGGGGGGGGGGGAATTGGATTTTTTTTGCGAGATTCACTCGAATACAGAAGAAGACGTAAATTCACAAAGCACTGTACTAAATGTACGACTTCACGCCTCGCTGGTCGCACCTGCCGAGTGTATGGTGACAAATACAGTAAGCTGATATAGACCATGACAGCTGGAATTGGAATCATGTCATAACGGAGGTCACACTCTAATAGGAAAGGGGAACGGCATTACCCCCCCCCCCTCTCTGTAGGATATTAACCCCCCACCCCCCCCCCCACCCCGTCCAGAGTTTCTTTCAGGCATCTCTTCGAGCAGAAAGTCTACCTCATCCCCCCTGAAAGAAATGGAATTTATATAGAAAATATATACTTTTAACAGGGTCCGACCCCCCCCCCCGAAAAGTCTGGAAGAAACACTGCCCTCTCATAGGTTAAGGTACAGTTAGGGTTAGTGCTAGAGTGGGTTTCGGTTAGGGGTCAGGGCAAGGGTTAGCGCTAGGAGTATGGTTAGTGTAAGGGTTAGGCTTAAATCAGTGTCTAGGGTTTGGGTTGGGTTAAGTTTTAGGCTGAGGTTAATGCATAGGTTTAAGCTTTTTCTTAAGGTATAAAGAGTTAGAGTCAATGTTCTTGGTAGGGGGGGGGGGAAGGGAATTCCCCACTGGGGAATTTGACAAGTAGGTAATTGCTCTAGGGGGTAATGTCGAGGAGGGGGGGGGAATATCCAGGGGGTAATTGACTGGGGGGTGTTAATGTCCATGACCCATAGGAAAGGGGGGGGGGGGAAGCTGGTTATACAAATGTGAAATACAATTATATTTGTTTTTTTTTAATATCTTAAGGACAAAAAATATAAAAACTATTATAAAAACATTTTTTTATGAGAACATATATATGTCATCAAAAATTATTTCTATATTGTGAGAATCACTGTGTACGAAAGGTGTATCATGTAAGAACCTCTGTATGTACAGGCATGCTTTCTATGCTATGAGAATCATTGTGTACAAAATATGTATCTTGTGAGAACCTCTAACATGATTTCTATATTGTGAGAATCATTGTGTACACAAGATGTATCTTGTGAGAACCTCTAACATGATTTCTATATTGTGAGAATCATTGTGTACACAAGATGTATCTTGTGAGAACCTCTAACATGATTTCTATATTGTGAGAATCACTGTGTACACAAGATGTATTTTGTGAGAACCTCTAACATGATTTCTAAATTGTTGCAGAGCTGTAGGGAAAACATCCATGTTGACCAGTTTTTGTGAAGGCTCATTCCCTGAAGACTATGTCCCCACAGTGTAAGTAAATAAATAGTAAAACAAATTTGATTTTTATTTTTCATTTTATTTAGAAATATGATTTTTTCCATTTTGTTAACAAAGCTGATTTTTTTTCATTAAGTTGACAGATTTTTTTTCCTATTTTGTTGACAGATTTTTTCTTTTCCATTTTGTTGGCAGATTTATTTTCATTTTGTTAGCAAAGTTTATTTTTTTTCCATTTTGTGACAGATAATTTTTTCCATTTTTTTGACAATTTAAAAAAAAAAAATGTGACCGTTTTTTTGTCCATTTTGTTTCCAACGTTTTGTTTTTTTCCATTTTGTTGCCAAAGTTTTTTTTTTTTCATTTTGTTGACAGATTTATTTTTTCATTTTGTTGGCAAAGTTGTTTTTTTTTTTTCTTTCTTTTTTTTTTTTTACTGATATTTTCCCCATTTTTTAAAACATTTTTTAAAGGATTGTTTTTCCATTTTGTTGACAGATTTGACAACACAACCATTGACATGACAGTGGATGAAAAGGAGGTCAGCCTAGGCCTGTGGGATACAGCTGGTCAAGAAGATTATGACAGGTTAAGGCCTCTGTCATACCCTGGAGCTGTGAGTGGTTAATTAAGTAGTGGTAGCACTGCTGGTGTTGGTTTAGTGGTAGTGGTGGTGGTGTTGGTGTTGGTTTAGTTTAGTGGTAGTGTCGTTGTGTTGGTTTAGTTGTAGTGGTAGTGCTAATGGTTTTAGTTTAGTTGTAGTGGTGGTGGTGGTTTTGTGGTAGTGAGTGCTGGTGGTGGTGGTGGTTACTATTACTGCTGGTTCAAAAAAACTTGTGCAAAAAGGTTCAGTGATGGTACAACCAAGGATATTTTATAGTCATGGTAGATCCAGAGATATTCTACAGACTTAAGTCATGGGAAGGTCAAGGATGTTCTACAGACTTAAGTCATGGGAAGGTCAAGGATATTCTACAGACTTAAGTCATGGGAAGGTCAAGGATGTTCTACAGACTTAAGTCATTGGAAGGTCAAGGATGTTCTACAGCCAAGTCATGGGAAGGTCAAGGATATTCTACAGACTTAAGTTATGAGAAGCTCAAGGATGTTCTACAGACTTAAGTCATTGGAAGGTCAAGGATATTCTACAGACTTAAGTCATTGGAAGGTCAAGGATGTTCTACAGACAAGTCATGGGAAGGTCAAGGATATTCTACAGACTTAAGTCATTGGAAGGTCAAGGATGTTCTACAGACTTAAGTCATTGGAAGGTCAAGGATGTTCTACAGACAAGTCATGGGAAGGTCAAGGATATTCTACAGACAAGTCATGGGAAGGTCAAGGATGTTCTACAGACTTAAGTCATTGGAAGGTCAAGGATGTTTTACAGACAAGTCATGGGAAGGTCAAGGATGTTCTACAGACTTAAGTCATTGGAAGGTCAAGGATGTTCTACAGACAAGTCATGGGAAGGTCAAGGATATTCTACAGGCTTAAGTCATGGGAAGGTCAAGGATGTTCTACAGACTTAAGTCATTGGAAGGTCAAGGATATTCTACAGACTTAAGTCATGGGAAGGTCAAGGATGTTCTACAGACTTAAGTCATTGGAAGGTCAAGGATGTTCTACAGCCAAGTCATGGGAAGGTCAAGGATATTCTACAGACTTAAGTTATGAGAAGCTCAAGGATGTTCTACAGACTTAAGTCATTGGAAGGTCAAGGATATTCTACAGACTTAAGTCATTGGAAGGTCAAGGATGTTCTACAGACTTAAGTCATTGGAAGGTCAAGGATGTTCTACAGACAAGTCATGGGAAGGTCAAGGATATTCTACAGACTTAAGTCATTGGAAGGTCAAGGATGTTCTACAGACAAGTCATGGGAAGGTCAAGGATATTCTACAGACAAGTCATGGGAAGGTCAAGGATGTTCTACAGACTTAAGTCATTGGAAGGTCAAGGATGTTTTACAGACAAGTCATGGGAAGGTCAAGGATGTTCTACAGACTTAAGTCATTGGAAGGTCAAGGATGTTCTACAGACAAGTCATGGGAAGGTCAAGGATATTCTACAGGCTTAAGTCATGGGAAGGTCAAGGATGTTCTACATACTTAAGTCATTGGAAGGTCAAGGATGTTCTACAGACAAGTCATGGGAAGGTCAAGGATATTCTACAGACTTAAGTCATGGGAAGGTCAAGGATGTTCTACAGACTTAAGTCATTGGAAGGTCAAGGATGTTCTACAGACAAGTCATGGGAAGGTCAAGGATATTCTACAGACAAGTCATGGGAAGGTCAAGGATGTTCTACAGACTTAAGTCATTGGAAGGTCAAGGATGTTTTACAGACAAGTCATGGGAAGGTCAAGGATGTTCTACAGACTTAAGTCATTGGAAGGTCAAGGATGTTCTACAGACAAGTCATGGGAAGGTCAAGGATATTCTACAGACTTAAGTCATGGGAAGGTCAAGGATGTTCTACAGACTTAAGTCATTGGAAGGTCAAGGATGTTCTACAGACAAGTCGTGGGAAGGTCAATGATATTCTACAGATTTAAGTCATTGGAAGGTCAAGGATGTTCTACAGACAAGTCGTGGGAAGGTCAAGGATATTCTACAGACTTAAGTCATTGGAAGGTCAAGGATGTTCTACAGACAAGTCATGGGAAGGTCAAGGATGTTCTACAGACTTAAGTCATGGGAAGGCCAAAGATATTCTACAGACTTAAGTCAGGGTAGATCCAGGGACCTAACTAAGTCAGAGTCCACCCAGGGACTACTTAATTAATTACGGGTACACCCAGTGATTTAATTAAGTCAGGGTACACCCAGGGACTACTTAATTAAGTCAGGGTACACCCAGGGACTACTTAATTAATTACGGGTACACCCAGTGATTTAATTAAGTCAGGGTGCACCCAGGGACTACTTAATTAAGTCAGGGTACACCCAGCTACTTAATTAAGTCAGGGTACACCCAGTGATTTGATTAAGTCAAGGTACACCCAGTAACATCCTATAGACTTAAAGTCAAGGTAGTCTAAGGGTGCCCTATAATGTTTATCAGTTAATTAATTTTACATCCATAGACATCCTACACATTGAAACACCTAACTTTGAACTAACAATCCTCTTCTACTTCCTCACCATACCATTCCACAACTCATACATTATAAATACATTAAACAAGGAAGTAAATTACTGTCATTAGCCCCTTCTCTGTTATGATTTCACTCTTGTTATTTTCATTTCATTTTAAAACACTTACCAGTTGCACACACTGTTAGCCATTAAATACAGTACGCCATCTGTATTTGTGTTATAATAGATTTAAGATGCACTTACAGGAGGGCGTGTCTGGTCACTGAAAAACTGTAATTTCAACTACTTATCCCACTTTGTTGCAGGAAATAAATGAGATCAACTGATTTGAAAAGTTGCATTGTTTTGTACTTGGTAGATAGGATGGGGATATGTTAATGTTGACCATGTACATTAGATATGTTAAAAATGACCACATACATTAGATATGTTAAAATGACCACATACATTAGATATGTTAATGTTCATTGTGTACATTAGAAGGTCATAATGACCACATACATTAGATGTTAAGTTTGACTATGTACAATAGATATGTTAACTATAACCACATACATTAGATATGTTAATTATGATCAAATGCATTAGATATGTTAATAATGACTACATATAGTAGATATGTTAATAATGACTACATATAGTAGATATGTTAATCAATAATGTTAAGGTTTGCAATGTACATTAGATATGTTAATGATTACCACACACATTCTGTATGTCAATTTTGATCACATTCATTATGTAAGTTAATGTGAACCATGTATGTTATGTATGTTAATGTTGATCACATACACTTTATGGACAGAGTGGTCTAGCGGTAGAGAGGTAGACTGCTAACCCGTAAGTCTCGAGTTCGAATCCGGGTTCAAGTCAGTAGACTGTCCACCCAGCTCTGATGGGTACCTAACTCACGTTAGGGAAAGTAAAGGTGGCTGGGCATGATGCTGACCACACTATCTCTTCATATGCTGAGGTCACAGAAACAAGTGAGCTCTACTTCACTTGCCCTATAGACCGTCAAGTTTGAAAAAGGAACTTTACTTACATACACTTTATATGTTAATTTTGTCCATGTATGTTATGTATGCTTTTGTTGACCATGTAGATTATATATGTTAACTTGCACAATGTACAATCTATATGTCAATTTTGATCATATTCATTATATAAGTATAGGTGAACCATGTGTGTTATGTAATATATTGTTAATCACATACATTATACATATTTATATGGGTCCCCTGAAAACTGTGCAGCAGAAAAATGTGCAAATACAAATTAATTATACTAAAACACTTTAATTTTTGTCATATTTCATGGAAATATGTTTTATTATGTTACGAGGTAGTCCGTCTTTGTTAATATGTAAGAAAACTAAAATGGCCTTGTGCACTTTTTTTTTGTGCGCAGCTTTCCGTTGTGCAGTTTTTTGTAGGGCACCATTGTACATTATATATGTTATTAGGACCATGTATGTTATGAAATATTTGAAGGGCTTTTATTAGAGGCCTAAAGTAGGAAAATGAAAGCCTCCATATTGGGCATTTGCACCTGTATAAAAGAAAAACTATTTTATTATTTTTTTGTCAAGGACCTTGTTAGTAACAAAAGATGGGGGAGATTAACGTTAAATTTAAGTACTTAAAAATTAAAATTAAAAGTACCGTTACCATAACATTCCTAGATATATTTTTGAGAAATTATTTATAAATTAGGTTGTTACAAAATTAAAAGGTTATCTTCTCTTAGTTAAGGGCAAAGTTAGGTTTACCATTTTGTTTGTTTTAGATAAGCTGATAAATCAATAAATCCAATTTAAAGTATCAAATTAGTCATTGATCTACTTTTAGATTTATAAGAGAATATGTCACAGGTATATACCATGATATATAAGGGGACAATAACATATTTGTGAAACTTTTTTATTGTTGTATAAGGTTTTAAGTCCATTTTAAATCATGAGATTATATCATGGATAGTATTTTTAAAAATAGATTTCTTTTAATTACATGGATTTTTATAGAGTTTTCTTTTGATTTAAATTCATACTTTGTTCTTGGTGTTTACATTTTGTGTTAAAGTGATTTTTTTTCATACCTTATATCTGATTTGTTACTTTATGTGTGCAATACTTTATATATTTAAAAATTTCATTTTTAGTTTGCTATTTTTATATATTTTAAAACTACTGCTCAATTTGCACTAATTGGTTTGTATTTTTCTTCTCTCCAATGCTTTAGGACTGTTTCATTCTCTGTTTCTCATTGTGTAACAAAGCAAGCGCAGACAACATCAAGGCAAAGGTTAGGATAAGATTTTAGAATAACAATTTGTTTAACCTCAGATTTTTTTTTACATGCAATTATATTTTCTTTTATAAGTGTATAGTATAAGTTTATTAAGAATCTCATTTGTTATTAAAACAAAAATGGTGATGCAAGACGAGGCATGTTTGCTTCTGTTGGATTTAGCAGTTTTGTATTCTCTGAAGGAGATTGATTTGAAACAGAGGACACTTTGCACTTTGCCTATTGTACCATCAAGTTCGATTTTCACGTTTTATTTTTAGAGAATTGTCAAAATCTAGTGTTAAATAGATCCATCTGCAAGGGATCCTTTCATGATGGTGTATTTATGTGTGTTTAAAAATATCATCTCAGTTTAGCTCTACTTCAGTTGTAACATTTAGACCTTTATTAATAGCTCAGACTTAGCATGATGCTTGTAAAAATCCACTATTGTATCAAGGTGGGTTTGTGTGGAACCACTTTAAGAGTTAGGACTAGGGTCATGATAAGAACTAGGAAAAGAATTTTAAATGGATAGAGGGAAAAACTAGTTTTTAAAAATTGATTCAAAGGGGTAGCAGAAAGAACCTATTTATGAAAATTGACTTTAATGGTATGGGAAAAAATCTATTTTAAAAATTTACTTTAATAGGTAGGGGAAAGAACCTATTTATGAAAATTGACTTTAATAGGTAAGAGAAGAAAATCTATTTTCAAAAATTGACGTTAAAGGGGTAGGGGAAAGAATCTATTTATGAAAATTGACTAATGGGCAGGGGAAAGAACCCATTTGTAAAGATTGATACAGCTGTTTGGGGAAACTCTACATGTGAATATTGACTTGGAAAGATGGAGAGCAAAAAAATAAAAACATATTTTCAAGATAAAACATCAATGTTTAATAGTATATTTGCTAGCATTATAAATATATGGTGTAGTCTAAATAAAAATACTTAAAATTAAATTAATTAATCTTTGCATTAATAAGATTAAATCGAAAAGAAATTAATATGTATTAATAATGCCCATATAATAATGCCCATATAATAATGTCCATATATTAATAATGTCCATATAATAATGCCCATAAAAATGGGGAGCCCAAATTCATAAGGGGTTAAGTGCCTTCAAGTTTTACAAAAAAAAAAAAAGAATATGAAAATTGATCTTACATTTTAAATCACTTAAACACCTTTATGTGCGCCAAAATTCAGTCTATAGCTGGAACTGGTGAAGGTGAATTTAAAAAGGGGCTTAACTCATTTTTAAGAAAAGTGTACTTAACCCCTTTTATTTTTGGGCTTCTCAAATAATGTCCATATAATAAGCCCCTAATGTATCAAATATATTTTGTAACTTGTCTTCATATTAAAATTATTATACAGCATGAACACACAAAAATAATAATGTATCATTAAATGTTTGAAATTTGTGCTTTATCCCTCTAGTGGTACCCAGAAATTCACTATCACTGTCCCTATGCACCCATCATTCTAGTGGGCACGAAGCTAGATGTCAGGCAAGATAAGGCAAAGCAGACTGATGGTAAAAAGGTAAGAAATTATTTGTGTGATCTTTATTGTTTTTATAGCTTTAAACCCTGTGTTTGCTTGGAAACATTTAACTTTGATAACCATGGCATAGGCAACAAGGTATTACAACCCACCCCACATCTTTTGGACTCTTTTGAAATAGCAATGCCGTTATGTTAATTTACAAATGGTAAATGTGTTTGTGTCTGGGTCAAAGCATAATTTTTCCACGAATGTTATGCATAAAATGGTTTTCCATGAATGTTATGCATAAAATGCTCAATTTATTTTGTAGGTCTGTACTTATACTGACTGAAAATATATTTATCATCCAAGGTCGTGTCCAAATCAGAAGGGGAGAAAATCGGGAAATCTATCAAAGCCAACAGGTACCTAGAGTGCTCTGCCTTGACCCAAGAAGGACTAAAAGACATTTTTGAAGAAGTGGTTAGAGCTTATCTGTACAAAAAACCCAAGCACAAAAGTAACGGCAAAGGATGTGTTATGTTATAGTTTTGTTTTAAATTATTTATTTGATTCATCTCTCCAACTGTTTTTTTTTTTTAAATAATTTTATTTTACTGTAAACAAAAAGTTGCTGAGTTTCTTTCAACATTTTTTTTAGAATAGGCAGATTCTAAACATTTAAATAATTGGTAAGTGTATGAAGTCTTAAACGACATTTTAAAAATTTGATATTTCATTCATCACCCCAAACCTAATTATTCTTTTTTAAATCTAATAAAAATTAGATTTTTACTACCTGTTTTGCTGCTAGGGTTATGGTCGGGATTAGAGAAACAGTTGTATTAGGTTGCATTAGGTGTTTGATACTTGTAAACATTTTGTTTGCATTTTAATAAGTAAAATATTTTGAAAAAAAAAACAATTAATTTTCAGCAAAAATATTTTATTGTCTTAACTGCATGTTATTCTGCCTACAGAATTTACTTTTGATTTAGTTTTTGTTTAAATATGTTTTAAATATTTAAATACACCAACAGTATTTATTATTGAAATATGTGTATGAAACCAGATGAATGCTGATGTTTTTTGACAGACTGAATGTAATTGAATGTGTATACAAAAAAATTTCCACCGAGCATTTACTCTGACTTGCCTATTTGCCCATGTGTAAGATGTAAGCCTTATTTTCTTTGTACTGACTGCTCTTAGGTTCACAAATTTCAATGTTTATCTGGCAAACTGCTCTGTATATACTATTATGGAGTAAAACAATTTGATACAAATGACTTTTTTTTCATCATTTGATACATATAAATTTAATATTTTTAAAATTATAATTTCAATCCAATCAGACTAATTCATAAAATACTTGAATCATTGTTTATTGATGAATAATTTCGTTAATTTTTATAGAGATCTGTACTTTATTTTATGTATATATTTTTTAAACACACCTTTAAATTTGTATAGCAAATCATAAAAGGTAATTTTGATGGTTACCAACAAAATTTAAACCATAAAACACAATATTAAAAGATGAAGGTGGATTTTAAAATTCACTTAAGGTAAAATTGCCTGCGTTGATAACCATCTATATAAACACAAAATCAAAGTGACTTACTTTATTTTGCATGAATTCGTGACATTTTGGTACGTCAACTATGTTTATTTTACATGTTTAAAATAATTATTTTATTTTCTAAATTAACATTAAATTTAATTTGAGATAAGTATCACTTTTTGTGTAAAGTATCTTGCAGGCTAAGATTTTATGGTCCAAACTTTCTCTAGATATAAAGATGCAATAAATCGTGGTATAAGTATAAACATGTAAGTTTACAGATTCACTATTGATAATGGTGGTTGCAAATTCATCAAGTCATTTAGTCTTAGCTTGTTATATGGCTAGGTTCATGTGGTAAGATAGTCATTTCTTGGACACTTAAGCTACTGACACCTAGGCTAATGGGTTCTCCTGACACTTACGCTACTGATATCTAGGCCAAGGAGTTCTAATGACACCTAGGCTACTGAGTTCTTCTCTGAGCTATTCCCTCCAACTGCGCTCAGTTGTAAACCATCTTATGACCACCCCCTCCCCCCTTCTGGTCCCATGTGGTTGTCCAAATATGATGTCATACTCCTAGAGGAGAGGGGCATTGAACTCCAGTGACAGTGTATGTTGAGGAGCCCACTATTAAATACGAAAAAAAAAATCCTGTTTTTATTTGTAAAAAAACCCACCTATTTAGGGAGGGTAGTGTAAATTGTGACATCATTTACATAGGCTTTTGACTTTAGTGACAACCTGTGTGTGGAGTATCATAAATTGTGACATTAAATAAGGGACGCTTCTCACTTAAGTGACAATATTGGATACTGGAGAAAGAATGATGAGTTTGTTTTAAAATACATGACCTCATGTATGGGCAACCTATAAGCCGAGTGTTTTCCAAATGAATAGAATAATCAGCGGTGCCTTCTCTAGGTTACACAATTATACGATGGCCCACAAATTTCATCAATTTCTTGTATTCCTATTAAAAATTTACTGAGCTTCTTTTATAGCTTTTAATCAGAGAATCATAAATCATTTCGAATAAGTTGTTTGCCTTGTAAATCGTCAAATTAAATTTGTTATGCATTTAAGATGTGATCAATTCATAAAAATACTTTTTCACATAGTTCACTACTCTTTTTTATGTTAATTGATACGTTCTTTTCTTATATAATTCATCTAAAGTATTAATTGTGTTCACAAGAGCATATTGAGGACAATTAATCCTTGTGGAGTGAAAAGTAAAAAAGTAAAGTTCCCTTTCGAACATGACGATCTATAGGGCAAATGAAATAAAGTTCACTTGTTTCTGTGACCTCGGCATATGAAGAGATAGTGTGGTCAGCATTATGCGTTTATGCCGAGCCACCTTTACTTTCCCTAACATGAGTTAGGTACCCATTAGAGTTGGGTGGACTCAGGGATGGTCTACTGACTTGAACCCGGATTCGAACTCGAGACTAACGGGTTAGCAGTCCAGCTCTCTACTGCTAGAACACTCTATCCCAGTGGAGTTAAATAGTGCAGAAAATATGGACTAGTTTATAAGCCATCCCTACTAATTCATATCATTAACATCACAGATACTTCATCCCTAATCTTAAGGGCTGTAGTGCTCTCATTAACAATATTTACAAGTGATTATGGTATGCATGTGGTTTTTTACTAATGATAAGAATTGAAAATCTGATGGCTGTGAAAATGTAAAAAAATATGCTGCATTGAAGATTGTGTGGAAGATGAAATTAGGGTGAAACAGGAATGTTTTTTAATAGCGCTAAACATTGTTTTTAGTAGAACCAAAATGTTTTTTTTCTGGGGACCAAAATGTTTTTAATGGAGCCAAAATATTTTTAATGGGATCAAAATATTTTTATTGAGATCAAATTATTTTTTTTTTATTGTGACAAGATGTTCTTATTAGAAATATGTTTTATGTTGAATCAAAATAAATCTTTTGAGACCAAAATGTTTTTAGTGGAACCAAATTTTTTAAAACTGAAATCTGATTGTTTTTAATAAACAAAAGATTTTTTAGTGAGATAACAATATTTTAGTAAACCACAAAATTTAGTTTAGTGGGCCTGAAATGTTTTGGTGAAAACAAACTGTTTTCATTGATTTGGATATATTTTTAAAATTTTTGTCTGTTTAAAATTTAAGAAATAATTGTTTCTATGCTATTGATTTGCTCTGACAGTAATTAAAGCAATGAAAATAATTATTTCAAATATGTTATACACTTCCAAAATTTAAATGTTTAAACGGTTTTAAAAATTTAAACAATTTTAAAAAATTATTGCTGTATTTTACATTAGTTGTATGTATTATAACCTCAAACATTTGCTTTATCTTTCTCGAAAAAAAAACCAAGTATCATTATAAAAATGAATTAGGCCTTAAAAGTTTTTCCCCTTCGCTGCCTTGAATTTATGCAAAAATAAATCTTAAACCAAAGTATTTTTGAATATACTTTTGTGCTACATGAATAGATCGTATAGATAAAGACATCTCTGAGAGCATCACTGAAATGTGTAATTAAAATGGAATAAGCCACTACATGTGTAATTAATTCTTGTTACGTTATGTACTAAGTTTTTGCATAACTCACACCTCATTAAATTAAACCATGACAAAATTATCATTCAATTCATCAGCGTAGTTAAAATTACCGTACTTTAAAAAAACCTGATTGGATGTTAAGTTGAATGGGAAGATCAAGACCGCTATTACTTTTTATTGGAGCTAGAGCAATAGATCCTGCACAGTGGCAAAGTCTATAGACTTTAAGCTTAGTAGGCTACATGACTTGTATGCAGGGGTCGTCCATATATTTTGTTTGTTCTTAATTGTAATGTTGGAAGGGATTTCTCCAACATTATTAAGTATTACAAGTCAACTTGTTATGCACCACGTAGGTCGTTGAGTCCAATTTCAGCCTGTTTTTCTTTCTGGATTCGCTTCCTTAGCCTTTTTCTAACCAAGAACAAACTACAAGGCAGCAGTTGTTTGTTTTCGGAGTTGTCTCTCCTTGGTGGGTTGCTGTCCCCAGATATTGACGCTTATCTGCCCGGGGGCTCGAACTCCGGACTTTTCAGCTAAGCAACCATGTGCCCCAACCACACAGACCCCTAGTCCATATATGACCTCATATATTTTAGCCTGTTTTTATACTCCACCCCCACCTACACACACTCTTTATCCAGAGTTTCTTTCTGGCATCTCTTTGAAGAACGTCTACACCCCCCCCCACCCATGAAATGGGTACTTTTACAAATGTCTACCAGAAAGTATCAAGTGCACCCTCCCTTCCCCCAGGAGAAAAAAAGTCTTAAAGAAACACTGACATTATGTTTTTCATCATTTTAGTTCTTTAATGCACTTTAAAAACATCAAACACATGTGCTGTTGATATGTCAGATTTTATTAAATCCCCAACCCCTTACCTCTAAATAACACATCTTCATAAAAGTTTGATTCCAACCCCTTTGTAGTATGACTTCATCAATGGACGACCCTCGGTATTATATCATTCTTGAATTCTGGATGAGAAGAATTGTAACAGAAACAAAATATTTGTTACTTGTATATTTCTGAAATAATTATATTCCCTGCAGCATTCTAAAATGTATTGTTTGTAATTTGTTTTTTTACCACCGCATGGATTTGTCAATAAACTTACTCTAAATTATGCTGTTGTTGTTGTGTTTTATTTTTGCTGTACATTTAAAGGGATAAATGTATTTTTAACTTACTTGACATAGGTTACATGTCACATTTTTACAGCTTTTAAACAGCACATACATGTGTTTGTGTGATAAAAAATGTATAATATCATTCAAACACATACTTTAATTTTTCTCTACTTTTAGATGACAATTTTTCAAATCATAAACCAATTTTTTTTAACTTTGCAAAGAGCTTTCTAATATAAGTATCTGTAATCAGAATTAAAGCCGCAGCATTGCAATAAAAATTAAATTAATTATAGCAAATACATGGATACTATAGGTTTAAATGATAAATTATAGTACCCAGGATGCGATTTAAAATAGCTAGGTCAATCAAACACAAATAGTGAAAAATCTTATTTATGTAGAACTTTAATGCGATGCTTTATGCCCTGCAGGCAGTGGCGTAGGCATGGGGGGGGGGGGGGGGGGTTAGGGGGGGGGGGGTTATAACCCCCCATGTACCCCCAATATGACTACCTTTTTACGTTAAGCTACAGCTATTAGGTAGTCCAAACTGGCGAAAAAGTGCGTTTTAGGGTCAGTTTTTGCGGTTTTCAAAAATAAAATTTCACTTCTTCTAGTTGTCCTATAAGAATAAAAATTATATGCCAATAAAGTTTAAGCCTTTATCTGTCGTAATCTGGTATTTTTATATCTGTAACACATGTTTGAATGTGTTTTATATTTGTTTGAAAAGTATCAGTTACGTCACCAAATTTCACCGTTTTGCGTGTACCGATCGACCCCACACTGTTTCATTTGGTTGCGGCTTCGCGACGAAGCATCGTAGAAGCATAATCTTAATGTCATTTTAAAGAGCGAATTCTAGTCTATCGTTTGATGTATAAATTGAAAAAATAACTTGCTTATTTCATTTTAAAAATTCAGTTTTTAAAATTTAAATGACGATATATACACGAAAACAAACTAATTCTGTTTCAATCTTTACACCGATGTAAAGTTCACTTTTATAACTACTTTGTGTTGTAAATTCAAGTCTTTCTGATTTACGGTCGCGAAGCCGTACCCTCAATAAGCATATAACCCTCGAGTCAACTTTCAGCCCCGAGTCAGTTGCTCGCCGAACGGTTTTAAAGGTTGACGACCGATGATGCTAAACGGATTTTACCCCTGCTAGAGCCTTCAAACAAGTTGTAAGTATCATTTTTAAAGTTTCATTTCCATTTTAATAAATGAATTTTAAGTTTGAATGTCAGTTTGGTTTAATTAGCACACGTTATTAATGTAAATTTGAACCCTACTAGTCCACGGTTTTAGCGTGTGAACTACGCTTGTACACATGGTGTGTTTAAACGTGAAGCTATTTAATTCAGGACATTCTAGGGACTTCAAATATGGATGCACTTAACTATTAGATGCTAGTGTTTACTAATTCTTTAAAATCTATCGAATGGGATTAATGATAGGGTCGCATTACTACAGTTTATCTGGACTATCGCGTCAAAATTATGAATCGACAAATTCAAAATGGCCACCAGACATTCTTAGTTACTATGTGGACGAACTCAATTATTTACAGGGAACGAAGGTTAAATACTTATAAAATATTATTGAAACACAAAAGAAACTTATAATTGTAATAACTATACATTTTTATCAATTTATTTAAAACAAACGACACTAAATTTTAAGGACTAATGTGATTAATTTTTAATTTTCTGTTGTGCACTTTGATTCTGATTCCCCTGCTGAATAATGTGAAATGGTCTGCGCCAGTCTCCTTAATGAAATGTACCAGATCAATTTTTAGATGGTGGTGCAATTTAATAAGATTGTACATGTTGTGACTTAGTTTTAAATATTATATTAGTTGTAAGTGTAAGTAGTACTAGTAGTATTTCTCATTATTTATTTATTTTATATGCATATAGTAACACTGAAGGACAGTTAAGTTGTCCTATATGATGTTGAGAACCACAGTATGGCATCTTCATCATTGGATATCTCAACCATTGTGGTACAAACAACGAATATTTCATTCAATAGAATTAATGTTCAAAATATACTATCAAGTATAAATTTCTTTAAACAAAAAGGTGTTTTCGGGCTTTTTCATGTTTCCAGCTACAGTCACAGGATAAATAGTAGGCCTACACAATAGGCTAGTAGTAAATCTAATTATATTTTATTAATCACTAAATCAATTATTTATTCCATAGCTGGAGACATTTATGGTGGCCTATCCAGAACTTTCCTTACAAGGGAAGGGAAGAAGGCCAACCCCCCCCCCCCAACCACAGTTCCCAAAACATATCACTTACTCTTGATGCTCCACAAGATCAAGGTTGGGGAAAACAAGACATACAAAGATGTGGAGTTGTCGTTTTAAAAACTGTTCCCCCAAATCAGTTATCAACCAAATAGGTTTGAATGTAGCAGCAACTGCTGCATTACTTGTAGGCATCACGTCTTTATTAGATTACATTACATTACTCCACTAAATTTTGATTCTGTTTCTCCTGCTCTAGATAACTGTGGCATTTTTTAAAAATAATATTTTAACTCATGTGATTTTTGAAAATAATGAACATATTATTCCTGTTAATGTTACCAACAAAATAGTTTTAGAGTTATTCTATGTCCAAAGCAAAAAAAAAAAAATAAAAAAAATATGAAAATAAAAGTGACCAAAACGCATTTTTGTCATTTTCAATTATTTTTTTTACCTTAGAAAGACTCATTTTAGATGACTGAAAAAAATTGGGCATATATATTACAAACTTTGCAGTAATTTTACCAATTTCTACACTTCTATGTTATTTAGTTTAGAAAATATGGGTTCTCAAAAATGGCACTTTTTAAAAATCAGTTTTTTACCAAATTTTGCTTTTTTAAAAATCGCATAACTTTTTTATTTATTAAGATATTTTTATAAAATTTGTGGCATAGAGCTTACAATTAAAAGCTCTTTCATGACATACTCACTCCAGAAGTCTGCAATCAATAGTTAATTTCAGTTTGGACTACCTACAGCTATTGATTCGTGTGGATATTATTTAGAGCTTAAACACTAAACACTTAAGCCTGGCAGCCTCTAGAAGAATAATGTATATCATTGTGACGAGAATGGCCTGTAGAATTTAGTTACGATTTTTATTATCGTGCTAAAGTAATGTATAATAATCTGGAACGCAGTAGGCCAAGGGAAAGTTGGCCAAGGTTAGATTAGTTAAGGAATGTCGAATGGGGAGGGGTGGGCTACGTGGGTAGGCCTTTGTTGTAGTGCAACCGGAAAGCGTGTAGAAATAAAAAAAAACAACAACAAAGGAATTGATTATTATTCGCATTGATGTTCTATAATGTGTATGTTTTTAATACTTTAAAACATTTGAAATTCATTTCACTAATGGCGGATGCAGTAGCGTACGCAGGGGGGGGAGCCATTTTCAGCAAAGTGGCGCCTTTTTGAAAACTTTTTAAATTCAAAGTTTTAAACAATGATATTTGTTAAAAAAATATTTTTGGTCGGCACATCTATGTAAATCAAAAGATTTCTTTTCATGCAGCAATTAAGCATTATTGTTCTAGTCTAGTAGTGTCTACGTTTACAACACGTATTAACAGCTACATCAGTTTACCTTTCTAAAAATAACCATTACGATGTATTGCAATGTTTAAAATACCTCTACGGTAGTACCACTTGGCAAGAGGGGTGTTAAGTTTAAGGCAACTGTATAATGTATTTGCTTACGAATAATTGAATTAGAAAATGTTATACATAAAACTTCACACATAACTACTTTATATATACAGTTTGAATCGTGTGATTAATTTAAAAAAAAAACTACAATACAGAAACAGTTGGGATTACGATTACAAATTATATGAAACAGTTACAACCCCCCCCCCCTCCCCCATGGACCCCTCTGTAAAAAAAATTATTGTCATAATACCACTGCTACTTATTTAAATCTATTTCTGTAATATATATTTGTGTAATATATATTTGTGTAATATATATGTATGTTTAGAACAGTCATCTAAAAACTGATGCTATGTTCACTCTGAGTTGGTTATCTAAACCCCCCCGCCCCCCCCCCCCCCCGCCCCCCCACCCCACCCCCACACCTCACCACCACAATTGTGTAGAGCGACATTAATGTCACACCTAGGTATACACTGGGTTGGATAATTGACCTAAAGTGAACGGACAGTGGTGCATGAAGTTGAACCCATCCCCCCCCCCCGTACCCACCCCGAACTGATCTGTTAAGTACATCTAGAGAACGCGTAATGATGTACCATAGTACCATGCCGCCAGAAAATTAGCTTTTTAAACGTAAAACTCTGTGAATATTGTTTTTGAAATTACCAGTAAAAAGGTGTGTGATCAATACAGTGATCTAACCCATACCTATCACTATGTTTAAAAAAAATGATCTTTAAAGAACACAAAGAAGCAGTACATAATTGAAATATATGAATTAGTACTGAAAGACCGATATTCAGTTATATGTAGGCTGTTATTCCAAATGTTTTTCTTATGTATCGAAAAGCGTGGTTTTATACCAACACTGATTTTAAAAACTTTCATTATGCTGTAATACTTTAGCATTTATGATGACGATATATTAAATTCTGATTATAGACAAAAACATTTTGTAAACACAAATAGTCTTAAACAATTTCATTGTATTCTAAAGTAATTATTTTTTTGTATTGACATTTACAATTAAATGTGTAAATATATACATATTTATATCAAGAGAGTGATTATTTCCCCTATTTCCCTTGTCTTAAATAATTTCCCAGGAGTTATTATGTAAGAAATTTTGTTTACAAGAATTACAAAACAGATTGTGTTACGTTCATTGTTTTTTTGTTTTTGGTTGTAGTGTATATATATATATATATATATATATATATATATATATATATATATATATATATATATATATATATATATATATATATATATATATATATATATATATATATATACATTGTTTAGATTGATACAATTTTTGTTTTGTCGGCCAACATTGTGTGTTTTTTCTTATTTCGTCAGAGTGCTACTTTCAATTTATTTTACATCATAGCGAATTAATGACATACAGCTATATATATATATATATATATATATATATATATATATATATATATATATATATATAATACACGTATATAGAACGTGTTAAAAATTCGGCGCCTTTTTTGTTCTTTTCGCTCCCCCTACAACGAAAACCTGGATACGCCTCTGGGCGGATGAAACAGGGAAACTGAAAAGTATTTAATTTTTAAAAAGATAAGTAAACTGAAAATGATAAAGATGGCAGAGGACACACGGTTATCAGTTAAAGGGTTTGACAGGGGGGTGAGGGTGGGTTTGAATATTGGTACGTCTCAATTACTACCGGATGCACATCTGGCAGGAAAGCGTGGGCTTGACTCACAATTTGTTGACACAAAACTTAGTGTTGGTAGATATAAAAACTGCGTAGGTGGTTAAATATAGACGTAGAGCCAGGAACTTACAGTAGTCACTTTTAGACAATCAGAAAAGGAAGACCAATAATTATTTATTTTCTTAATCGCATAGTCGTATTTTAATGTGTATCTTTTTGATACTTCAAGCAATTTAAATTCATTTTAATGATGTCGGATGGAAAAAGGAAATTAAAAACTACTTTATTAACTGATTTCTTTACAAAGAAAATAAAACTGAAAACTACAATACATCAAGAAATGTCCATAAATTCAGCACCTTTGACTGCTTCTTATGCAAATGATATCGGCAATTTTATCAAAGGAGTTATAACAGATGATACACGGTTGTATTTATTAGAAAACATCTGGCGTCCTGATGAACTTTTTAAATTTCCAGCAAGCGGACAAAGAAATTTAAAATTTCAATATTCGTGTCTACTTAGGTGGAACTGGTTGACTTATTCCAAATTACTTGATGGCGCATTTTGCAAATTTTGTGTTTTGTTTAGTGAATTATGATGGTGTAGGTAGTCAGCTTTAGGTAAGTTATCAAAAATTCCAACAAATTATAAAAATAAATTACAAAAAATACATTTTAGAATGCCGCAGCGAATATAATCATTTATTAAGAAATGTACAAGTAACGAATATCTTGTTGCTGTTGCAATTCTTCTCACCCAGAATTCAAGAATGATATATTATCGAGGGTCGTCCATTGATGAAGTCACACTACGAAGGTTGTAGGGTTCAAACTTTTATCAAGATGTGCTATTAAGAGGTGGGGGTTGGGTATTTAATGAAATCTGGCATACCACCAGTACACGTGTTTGCTGTTTTAAAAGTGCATTAAAGAAATAAAATAAAAACATAGTTATGATGCTTTTGTGAGTGAGCATAATGTCAGTGTTTCTTCAGACTTTTTTCGCAGGGAATGGGGGGAGGGGGGGCGCACTTGATATTTTCTGGAGGGGTGGACATATATTAAGTTTTACTTCTTTCGCGGGGTGGGGGAGGGGCGTAGACGTTCCCCAAAGAGATGCCAGAAAGAAACTCTGGATAAGAGTGTGTGTGTAGGTGGTGGGGAGGGAGTATAAAAGCAGGTTAAATATATGAGGTCATATATGGATTAGGGGTATGTGTTATCGGGGCACATGGTTGCAAAGCTGAAAAGTCTCGAGTTCGAATCTCTGGGCAGATATGGCTCAATATCTGGGAATAGCAACCCACCAAGGAGAGACAACTCCAAAATCAAACAACTGCTGCCTTGTAGTTTGTTCTTGTCCATATACAAGACAATTGCTCTAGCTCCAATACAAAGTAATAGCGGTCTTGATCCTCCCATTCAACTAAACATCTAATCAGCTTTTTTTTTAAGTACAGTAATTTTGACTAAGCTGATGAATTGAATGATAATTTTGTCATGGTTTAATTTAATGAGTTGTGTGAGTTATGCAAAAACTTAGTACATAACGTAACCAGTGGCGGAACTAGAAAAAATGGGCCACCCCGCAAATTTTTTTTTTGGGCCCCCCATATATATATATATATATATATATATATATATATATATATATATATATATATATATATATATATATATATATATATATATATATATATATATATATATATATACATACATACATACATATAATATAAACACAATACGAAGATAGGATACTCTTTTCTGGCCTGATCGGGTTTTGAAAAAAAAAATTCAATTAAATGTAATCACAACAACGTGTCATGTGTATGAGTGCATTGGTCTGTTTTGAAAATCTCTGTTTTTATTTATGTTTAAAACTCCTAATCATTAAGTCGGTCAAAAGTATATCAATCATGAAGCTATGTATAAGTAATGGTGTCTCGTGTTATGTTTATTTTTATGTTTTTTGTATTGATATTATTAATTTTAACTACGTTTCATTATTATACTATACCATCCTTTAGTACCTTTTTTAAAAATAATAATTTAGACCAGTAATTGCTGCTTAATTTAATTATTACAAATCTATTAAAAAGAGCTTTTGAGCGACCCTATTTGACTATTTGAAAAAGGGAAATAATTTATGGAAGGGGTTTGAGCGTTTGCCTATCTTTCACACTACAGCTAATGTGTATATTTTTTAAAATTTTCTTTTTACGCAATAGCATGCCTTAGCTACTATATAACATCACTACTGTATTAGATCTGTTATCTGTTTGTTATTTACAAAACCACTATCAAGGTGCCAGTGACGAAACTAATATATATATATATATATATATATATATATATATATATATATATATATATATATATATATTTATATATATATATATATATATATATATATATAACACGCTATCATTTGTGTATTTTTTTGAAACGTTAGCCTTGTTTTCTAGAACAGTGGTTATTAAACGTAAACAATGTCGGCACTTTATTTCTTGGATATTAGTTGTTGGAGCGTTAGTTTGTCTACACTACCACCGATACGAGTCAGCTTAGTTGTTGAGGCGATATCTATTCGCTTCTTGTAAGGCTAAGAGCGGGAGGGGAGGTCTGAGAAAGGAACTTAAAAGGGACAACAAAGCACCGATGTGCTTTTATCCATCAGTACCAAATGTGGGATGGTCTAAAAAAGCCATCTTAATATCTTAATACACATGTAGTGGCTTATTCCATTTTAATTACACATTTTAGTGATGCGCTCAGAGATGTCTTTTTCTATACGATTTATTCATGAAGCACAAAAGTATACTCAAAAATTCTTTGGTTTAAGATTTATTTTTGCCTAAATTCAAGGCAGAAAAGGGGGAAAACTTTTAAGGCTTATTCATTTTTATAATGATATTTGGGTTTAGTTTTTGAGAAAGATAAAGCAAATGTTTGAGGTTATAATACATACAACTAATGTAAAATACAACAATAATTTTTTTTTAATTTTTTAAACCGTTTAAACATTTAAATTTTGGAAGTGTATAACATATTGAAAAAAATATTTTCATTGCTGTAATTACTTTCAGAGCAAATAAATAGCCCATATACAATTATTTCTTAAATTTTAAACAGACAAAATTTTTAAAAATATATCCAAATCAATGAAAACAGTTTGTTTTCGCCAAAATATTTCAGCCCAACTAAACTAAATTTTGTGGTTTACTAAAATATTGTTATCTCACTAAAAACTCTTATGTTTATTAAAAACAATCAGATTTCTGTTAAAAACATTTTGGTTCCACTAAAAACATTTTGGTCTCAAGAGATTTATTTTGATTCAACAAAAAAACATTTTTCCAATAAGAGCATTTTGTCAAAATAAAAATATTTTTATCTCAATAAAAACATTTTGTTTTTAAAAAACAGATTTTGTTTTTACTAAAAACATTTAGGTCTCATTAAAACAAATTTTGGTCTCTTTTAAAAAATATTTTGATCCCATAAAAAATATTTTGGCTCCATTAAAAACATTTTGGTCCTGGAAAAAACATTTTGGTTCTACTAAAAACTGTTTAGTGCTATTAAAAACATTCCTATTTCACCCTAATTACATCTTCCACACAATCTTTAACGCAGCACATCATTTTTTACATTTTCACAGCCATCAGATTTTCTATTCTTATCATTAGTAAAAAAAAAAACCCACATGCATACCATAATCACTTGTAAATATTGTTAATGAGAGCACTACAGCCCTTAAGATTAGGGATGAAGTATCTGTGATGTTAATGATGAATAAGTAGGAATGGCTTATAAACTAGTCCATATTTTCTGCACTATTTCACTCCACAGGGACGGAGTGGTCTAGCGGTAGAGAACTGGACTGCTAACCTGTATGTCTCGAGTTCGAATCCAGGCTGAAGTCAGTAAACTGTCCTTGAGTCCACCCAACTATGATGGGTACCAAACTCATGTTAAGTAAAATAACGCGCCTGGGCATAAACGCCGACCACACTATATCTTCATATGCTGAAGGTCACAGAAACAAGTGAAATCTATTTCACTTGTCCTATAGACCTTCAGGTTTGAAAGGGAACTTTACTTTTTTACTTTTCACTCCACAAGGATTAATTGTCATCAAAATGCTTTTGTGAACACTGTAACAGACTGAATTATTATGTATATTGTAATTGACATGAAGTTGCGTGAATGTAGTGTACCTGGCCAACGGAAGTAAGTGTGAGCGACTCGTCATGTATTTACACGCTTTTTTGTGAGATCGTTCACTGACGTAAGGGGAGAGAAAGTGGTGTATAAAAGGTAGAGCGAAAGGTGAACGAGAGTGCTTGCTGTGAATATGAAGTAGAATGTCACCACGTCACTTTGATTCGCGACTGTACTTATACCAGTTGTTTATCTTCTACTATGGATTTACTATGGATTTATCATTTCACTGTATAAAGTGTAAATAAAGTTAAAGTTGCATAACTATTAACTGCTGTTGCTCGTGTGAGTATATCAAATGAACCCACAATAACACAATAACACAATTGATACTTAAGATGAATTATATTTTAAAACAAACTCATCTTTCTCTCTCCAGCATCCAATATTGTCACTTAAGTGAGAAGCGTCCCTTATTTAATGTCACAATTTATGATACTCAACACACAAATTGTCACTAAAGTCAAAAGCCTCTCTAAATGATGTCACAATTTACACAACCCTTTCTAAATTGGTGGGTTTTTTAAAAATAAAAACAGGATTTTTTTTTAAACAGGAGTTTTTTTCGTATTTATTAGTGGGCCCCTCAACATACATTGTCACTGGAATTCAATGCCCCTATCCTCTAGGAGTATGACATCATATTTGGACAACCACATGGGACCAGAAGAGAAGGGGGTGGTCATAAGAAAGATGATTTACCACTGAGGGCAGTTGGAGGGAATAGCTCAGAGAAGAACTCAGTACTCTGTTAGTAGCCTAGGTGTCAGTAGCCTAGGTGTCAGTAGTCTAGGCATCAGGTGTCAGTAGCCTAGGTGTCATTAGAACTCTTTGGCCTAGATATCAGTAGCCTAAGTGTCAGGAAAACCCATGAGCCTAGGTTTCAGTAGCCATAGTGTCTAAGGAATGACCATCTTACCACATGAAGCTAACCAAATAACAAGCTAAGACTGAATGACTTGATGAATTTGCAACCACCATTATCAAAAGTGAATCGTCTAACTGTACCCTAACTTACATGTTTATCCTTATACCACTATTTATTGCATCTTTATATCAAGGGAAAGTTTGGACCATAAAATCTTAGCCTGCAAGATACTTTACACAAAAAGTTATATTTAATTGTAATTAAATTTAATGTAATTTTAGAAAATAGAATAATTATTTTAAACATGTATACAGTTGAGATACCAAAGTGTCTTGAATTCATGCAAAATAAAGTAGGTCACTTTGATTTTGTGTTAATATAGATGATTATCAACTCAGGCAATCTTACCTTAAGTGAATTTTAAGATCCACCTTCATATTTTAATAATGTGTCTTATGGTTCAAATTTTGTTTATAACCATCAAAATTACATTTGATGTTTTGCTAAACAAATTTAAAGGTTTGTTTAAAAATATATACATAAAATAAAGTACAGACGTTTACAAAATTAAAGAAATTATTCAACTATAAACTATGATTCAAGTACTTTATGAGTTAGCCTGATTTGATTGAAATTATAATTTTAAAAATATTAAATTTGTATGTATCAAATAATGGAAAAAAAAGTAATTTGTATCAAATTGTTTTACTCTATAATAGTATATACACAGCACTTTGCCAGATAAACATAGAAATTTGTGAGCCTAAGAGCAGTCAGCACAAAGAAAATAAAGCTTGCTTAAACATCTTACACAATTTTATACACATTTAATTACATTCACTCTGTCAAAAACATCAGTATTCATCTTGTTTCATATACAAATTTTCAATAATAAATACTGTTGGTGTATTTAAATATTTAAAACATATTTAAACAAAAACTAGATCAAAAGTAAGTTCTGTAGGCAGAATAATATGCAGTTAACATTGTGTTTGAGAAAGAACAATATTTACCACCCAAAATCCTATTTTATAGCTCTACAAATAATGCAGATTCTCCCCAATAATAAATTTAAAAAAAATGAGTTATTAAACGTCACTATTCAGTCAAAGTTAAGCCATTGTTCTAAAACTTTAAAATTAATGTGGTTAATCTACCTTTGAATAAATCAATAAACTAATTTAGCCCAGTACATATTATGGAGGCCTAACATTAATCAATATCCAAAACAATTATTCTCTTAAGGCACCGCATTACCGACCTATCGATTTAATCGATTCTTTCATTGAAAGGTCTACTAGTCACCACTAGAAAAACAGCAACTAAAAAGGCATTGTATTTAAATAGCTTTAGCTAAGGTTTATTTTTGTTCAGTGGAAGTCACCTGACACGTATAATTTGTGTTTACAGTAGCAACGTTTGTTTATCTGCTCGACAGTGTGCTGGTGACGTTTGCCTGAGCACTTGTGATTTAGTTTGTCCATACACAGCAGTTTATTTTTTAGAGGTAAAATATGTTCTTCATTTTTTTTAATAATCATTAGCAATATATAAACAAACTGTAGCTAAAGAATATTTTGAAAACAGTGTTTTATTTTTTATAGTAAATTTGTAAACATAAACCTGTTCACATAAATACATGCAAATATACTAAGTAAAGTGGTACCTCGACATACGAATGCCCCGGGTAAAAATTTTTTTAGACATGAGCTGCCAATCTGGTTACAATTTGCTTTGACATACGAGCGAGATTTGAGATACGCTTAACCTAATTAGCGGGCTTAAACAATGCGTGAAAAAAATGTGAATTACAGTGATCGAAAGAGGTTTGCACTAACGAGCTGAAGCTTATTCTCTAATCTCCACTAATCTAGAACAGACCTACATCTCTAACGGCTTTTTCTGTAAGCTTAAGTCGTCTAATTAGCAAAGTAAATATGCTTTATACAAATAGTTTATTTCTTAAACTGGGATGAATTAATTTTGTTTCACTAGGGAAAATTTATTTGATATACTAGCAATTTGACAAGTGAGTAATATAAGGGTACGCATTAAACTCGAAGCTTAAGATACAACTGTATGTATATATATATATATATATATATATATATATATATATATATATATATATATATATATATATATATATATATATATAAACATCCATCGTTAAATATAAAGGTCAAAATTATGCATGTTTACCCTTATTGCATTACTGTAACTTTTATACCATCGCCGTTAAACTTTGTGGAGTTGCTGAGAACACTCCCGGAAAAGTGTGTGCAAAAACGTTTCCAACAAAAAAAAAATAATTAAATATATTTCGATCTCGAGGGCCCAAGAATAAAATTAAAATATCGCTGCTGTTTTAAATCAACACCACGTTGGTAGCGTAAAATGAACTGATGCAAATTAACTTTCCAAGCTGACAAAACTCGTTAAATTATATGGCATGCAGTCTGGCACCAAACGTGTTCAAGTTTGTCGTGATATTCAATCTTTTAAAAAATGTGATTTAACAAAAAAAAATCTGAAGTATCAAGTGCGTCTTTAAATTTCCACCAGAAGTCTAAAAATGAAATATATAAATCACGTGACGGTGTAGGTGTCCTCCAGATCAGAAATTATGCATGACGTCAGAGAAACTTTGTAACTCCAAAATCAACCCGTCCCATTTATTCTATTTAAATATTTAATTCAGTTGTATTATTATATTTTTGAACTTAACGTCAGCTATGGACTATAGAAAACAGGCACCCTTAAAATCAATATATTAAATGTTATTTAAAAAATTCTATATGCTCTAACTTGCTAAATTTCGCGCTCCTTAGAAGTCTTGTACAAAAAACATGTAGTTAGTGACTCGTATTAGGAAGTTATATGTCAATAAGTTTATAAGTTATATGTGGTGTATATAATCTAATTCCAAAATGTTGTTCATTAATAATATTTCAGTACAAGTGCATCTACTAATTACAAGTTCTAATTAAACTAAAACTCAATAAGAAAAGGATCGCATTTATAAAGGAGAATATTGTGTTACATTTCTGTTCTCATCCCCATTTACTAAACAAGTAGGTAGCCAACATTGTGTGGCTAATCTCTAAACATTACACGACAGCAAAATAAGATGTGCAAAACAATTTTCAACATAGAAAATGAATGTTTAGTAATATTAAGAATGCAGACGATAACTGTCGCGTTTTTATATAGAGGTAAATGAAAATTGGGCGCTAGGCGAATATTGTTTATTTATTTTGTTCTAATCCAAAACAAAACAATATCTTTACCCATAGCTCAATGTAAACTGCGAAACGGTAGCGTTAATTTAACTTGAACTAGAATAAAAACTAAAACGGTAAAATTTAAGGAACCAATTTAACCAGAAACGGTAAAATATACTCGGGATCGAAAATTAACATTGAGCGCAAACGATTATGTCATCGGAAACGGCAATTAACCATAATCTGAACTATAACCGGAATCAAACTTTAACTGGAATCGAATATACGCCGGAAACCGGAAAATAACATTGAAAAGGAAACGACATTTCAACTGAAAAAAAAATCTAAATTGGAACTTTAACCAGAATTTAAAAAAAAAAACTTATTTGACAAGAACTTAAATTGTAACCGTAATCCTATCCGGAAATCGAACCGGAAGTCATACTTAAATTGACATTTTAACCGAAGTCGGAAATTTGACTCGAACATAAATTTTACCTCAAACTAAAATTTAACCGAAAACAGAACATTAGTAAGTAGGACTACGAGATTTAACTTAAAACGGAACTTTTTCAAACCGGCATTTTAACCTCATCGGAAATGTAACTGATACGAAATTAAATTTTAAACAACCGTATTCGAATTAAAAAATTCAACCATACACGAAAATTTAACCCAACGCAGAGCTTTATTCGGAACCGGCATTTGAACTTAATCCGGACATTTATGTGGAAATAAAAAAAAATACCCTTAAACGATAATTAACCAAGAAAGTGAATTAAAAAACGGAAAGTTTATATCGAAAACTAACATTTAACCGGAATCGTAATTTAACCTGAAACAAAAATTTTCCGGAGACGAAATATGTAACTTAAATGGAAATTTAACCACAACCTTAAATTTAACCGGAATAAGAACATTAATTGGTACAACATTTGTTAAAGCTCAATTCTATTCTAATTAAACATTTGAAATATTTGTTAGTTTTTCTCCAGTTACTTACAAAATGTTAAAATATCAATCCCCCCCCCCCCTCCCCACCCGTTATCTATTTTTACTCCCAAGTTCCATACAAATGTTAAGATATCTATTTTTATCTCCCCAGATACGTCAAAAATCTTGAAATATCTATTTTTATCTCCCCTTTTACGTCAAAAATGTTGAATGTCTATTTTATTTCTCCCCTGTAACGTCACAATTTTTGAAATATCTGTTTTTTTCCCTCCTTAGTTACGTCAAAAATGTTGAATATAAAATGTGTGATCGTGGGAGGCGGGTAAGTACCTAAATTACGTTCTTTGTTTTAAAAGGGAATCGTCTTTATGTAAGTACCTATCTTTGTTTGAAAACGAAACGTCTTTATGTAAGTACCTATCGCAAGTCATTTGTTTGAAAAGGGAATCGTCTTTATCTAAGTACCTATCACACGTTCTTTGTTAAAAAGAGAATCGTCTTTATGTAAGTACCTATCTTTGTTTGAATATATGTCAACGGGGCCTATATGTTGTATAACAAATTGACACGTGATCTTGAACTTTGTATGTGCAGACCGCGCCGGGGACAACATTTAGGGGGGTGACACCAAGGCAAAAATTGCAAAATATATATAAAAAAATGTTCATTCCAGTTAAATAAATAATTAATTAGAGTTAAAAAGTCCTTTTAATTAAGAGCAAAATTGACAAATTCCAACACAAAAAGGGTGGGAGGGGAGGGGAGTAACACTATGGCGTAAACCTGCTAACGAAATAGACAACTATACTACATCAGGCTGTATTTAGAGCCGACTATAGGTGAGCATCGTTATTATCTGTGCACAATTTAAAGAGTGGAGTGTGAAACCAACTAAACGGTGCAAAAATTGTCTGAAGAAAAAAAGTTTTCTTGAAAATTGTAATAACGGACACGTCAATCCACGTCTGGGTTGGGGGTGTGAGGGGGGGGGGGGAAGGGGTATAAAATATGCATATATATATATACATATATATATATATATATATATATATATATATATATATATATATATATATATATGTATGTATGTATGTATATATAGGCCTATATATAGATTTTTTCGCGGGGGGGGGGGACACCATTAGTTGCCGCACCGGGTGAAACCCGAGCTAGCGACGCCACTATTAGTATCCTACAGTGATAGATAAACGGGACCAATAGGGTTTTCAGCAATGTGCAGACTATTGTAATGAAAGGTTTGTCTACTTTCTAGATGATGTGTTTATGTTGAGCTCATGCGTAATTGTGACCAATGCTTCCCGGAATTAATTCTCCCAGTTAGGCCTAAGGAAATTTTTTAAAAATTTTTAACCGGATTAATTAGAACTCTCGCTGGTGCTTAGAACACTTTGGGTTGGGTGGTGTCAAGGGTGATCACATGATACGTAATCACGTGACATCTTATCACGTGACATATTGTTACTTGACATTTCATCTCAGGGAACTTTATCACACGTTTTTACCAATCAGCGTTTTATAATTTGACATTTTATCATGTGATTTTTATCACAAATTTTATCATATATAATTTGTCACATGCCGTTTAAATCATGTGACACGGACTAGCGGCGATCCACAGACACATCATGATGTCACCTTGTCGGCGACATGACATACCACATCATGAAAGCAACTTGTCAGTGACATGATATACCACATCATGACGTCATATTGACATGAAGTTTCACATCATGATGTCATCTTTCCAGTGACAACATAATGACATCACCTTGTCATTGATGTAACATAATGACGTCACCTTGTCAGTGACATAACATAATGACGTCACCATGTCAGTGATGTCACATAATGACGTCACCTTGTCAGTGATGTAACATAATGACGTCACCTTGTCAGTGACATAACATAACGTTGTCACCTTGTCAGTGACATGACGTGCGCGGACGATAAACTACCGTGTGTAGACGTGCGACGTTAATCACTGAATTCGTTAGCTAATTAATTAATTAACGAGTGATGTTTGTTTCGTACCACACGATCGGTCGCCATTATGGTCACGACAAAGACTTTAAATAAACCACACAAGTGTACGTTGGATTAGACGTACCTAACCATGTAACCACTGGTTTTGGTGGTAGGTTTAGGGTTAGATTTCCGCAAGGAAGCTACAGAGCCGACCCCTTGTGACCTACTTAGGTCTTTTCTTTATTTTTTAATTTCTTAAATTATATAATTGACCTTGAGAGAGTTGTACGGTCACCTGAACTCCTCGGTCACCTGAACTCCGTCACGTCATGTGATTGGATTTTAATTGGTTGTTCCGATCCTTAGCAGATCCTCGACCAATGGTCTTATGACATTAAAGAACCTTAACAGATCCTCGACCAATAATCGTAAGACTTTAGAGTGATCTAGCTTAGGTTTTTGATCTTGTAAATAAACTTCGGCACGACAAGTCTATAGGCAGCTTGTTGACCTTGGACTTGGAGAGAGTATGTGCCGTAGGTGTGTGACGCTATCTTTGTGATTGTAGCGGCAATTTGTCTCTTATTAATATTTGTGGTATTTATAATGTCATGCAGTTGTTTCAAGTAATTTTCCATAATGGTGTTCAATATCCTATGCCACAGCTGTGATATCTTGTGATTTTCTTTAATTGTAAGTTGGAGTTTTGAGTTTATTTATTGTACTCTTAGAGTCTGTACCATTTTGTATAGACCCAGTGTAACTGTTTTTTGCACACTTATTAAAAGGTTATTGACAGTTAGTTTTAAATCGTATTGAGTCTCTTCAATTCGTCGTGCTTTTCCGCTAGATATCATTAACGAGCTCACGTCAAGTTGTTGTGTACTCAGTAGTAGTTGACTTCTGTCAGTGCCATCCCAAACGAACCCGGGGTGTTCGCTCCCTCCGCGGCTGTCGGAGAGCGATCATTACACCCCTTTCTTCAACCGAGGAAAACTAAATTCACAGCCCCAAAACTGCTGTCGCAAAAGAAATCTATCCTCATAGGAACATGGAACGTCAGAACACTATGGGAAGCAGGGAAGTGTGCACAGGCAGTGAAAGAAATGCAACAATATCATCTTACAGTGCTCTGCCTGTGCGAAACAAGATGGAACACCTTTGGAGAGACAAAATTCCAGACGGGAGAAACAATGTTATACTCGGGAATAGAAAATGAGGACGACCCACGAGAGGCAGGCGTAGCCTTGCTATTGACAAAGGAGGCAACAAAAAGCCTGATGGAATGGGAACCTGTATCTGATCGAATAATTAAAGCTAGATTTGAATCCAGGTTTCAAAAGACCTCCATTATCATGTGCTACGCTCCTACGAACAATGCAGACGAGGAAGAAAAAGACCGTTTCTACGAAGAGCTTCAATCGGTGGTTGATAAGGTACCCAAGCGCGACATGCTGATCCTCATGGGTGATTTAAATGCCAAAGTAGGCAAAGACAACAGAGGCATGGAAATGGAGATGGGAACCAATGGCCTAGGGGAAATTAATGAAAATGGTGAACTCTTCACAGACTTTTGTGCCTCAAATGAGCTTACTATCGGCGGTACACTTTTCCCCCCACCGAAGATGTCATAAAGTCACCTGGATATCACCAGATCATCATACCGAAAACCAGATTGAACATGTCGCGGCACGGCGTCATTGGAGGACCTCACTGCAGGATGTGAGAACAAAGCGAGGAGCAGACATAGGATCCAACCACCACCTGGTTGTTGCTAAACTGAAGATGAAGCTAAAGGCGAAGAAGAGGCAACATGAAATTGATCCACGAAGAAGATTTGATGTAAGTAAACTCAAGACGCAAGATAACAGGACAAATTTTCAGGTTACCCTAAAGAATCGGTTTGAAGCTCTACAGACAAAAGAAAAAGATTTTGATTCAGTTAAACACACCTTGGAAATATTTAAGCAAGCCACTATTGAAGCTTGCGAAGAGGCTCTAGGAGGTAGAGCGCCCAACAGGAAGCCCTGGATCACAGATGATTCATGACAGAAGGTGGAAGAAAAAAAAAGCCTAAAGAGCGAACTAAATCAAGCAAAAACACGGCAGCAAAAACAAGCAGCAGCCGCTCGATATAACGAAAAGGCTAAAGAGGTGAAAAGGAAACTAAGAAATGACAAGAGATTGTTTATAAATGAAATGACAGAGCCGGCCGAAACAGCTGCCAGTAAGGGAGATCTTAAGACGCTCTATGCAACAACCAGAGCTCTGAGTGGGAGGAAAACCAATCCCAACAGGCCAGTGATGAGCAAAAATGGTAAACTTCTAACGTCAATTGAGGAACAATTGGCACGATGGAGAGAGCACTTCCAGGAAATACTAAACGACCCAGCACCTCAAGATCCACCAGACCTGGAGCCAGGGGAACCTCTTAACATCAATACCGAGGAAATCACCAGACAGGAAATTCTCAACGCCTTAAATGGCTTGAAGAGTGGCAAGGCAACAGGACCAGATAATATCCCAGCAGAGGCATTAAAGCAAGGTGGAGAAGAAGTAGTAAATCGACTTCATAAATTACTTAACTTAGTCTGGAACACAGGGCAGATCCCAACCGATTGGAAGAGGGGCCTCCTTGTGAAGTTGCCTACGAACGGTGACTTGTTGTCCATACCAAGTAAAGTCCTTACCAGAGTTATTTTGGACAGAATGAAAGAGGTGGTTGACCTTAAGCTAAGAGAGGAACAAGCAGGGTTCAGGAAGGATAGATCTTGTACAGATCAAATAGCCACTCTTAGAATTATTGTAGAACAGACGATAGAATGGCAAGCCCCGCTTTACATCTGCTTTGTTGAATTTGAGAAGGCCTTTGATAGTGTGGATAGGCAAACAATATGGAATCTGTTGAGACACTATGGTTTACCTGCTAAGTTAGTGGAAATAACCCAGCAACTTTACAATGGATTTTCATGCCAAGTTAGCCATGCCGGGAACCTGTCTAAAAAGTTCCAGGTCAGCACAGGTGTGAGACAAGGATGTCTGCTGTCGCCCCTCCTCTTCTTGGTGGTTCTTGATTGGGTGACACGCACAGCCTATGCCAGTTCTAGAAAAGGTATTCATTGGACACTCACGGGGAAACTAGAGGATCTGGAGTTTGCAGATGATCTTGCCTTACTCTCGCATAGGCTACAAGACATGCAAGAAAAAGTTGATGTATTAGGAGCCATCTCTCAGCGCGTAGATCTAAGATCAACAAAGAAAAGACAGAAGTGTTGAGAATTAACAATATCCAGGAGGCCCCAGTGACCATAGATGGAAGACAGGTAAAAGATGTGCAAGAGTTTGTCTACCTTGGCAGCAAGATCAGCAAAACGGGAGGCACAGAAGAGACATACGTGCTAGAGTTAATAGAGCCCGCTGCGCTTTCACAGTCCTGCAACCCGTATTTAACTCTTATGTCAAGGCAGTTATGCTGTATGGAGCAGAGACATGGAGAGTCTCCAAAGCAAGCACAGCAAAGTTACAGACCTTCGTGAATAGATGCCTTAGACCAGTGGTTCCCAACCTTTTTCGGGTGGCGACCCCCTTTTAAAAAAAGAAAGTGACCCGCGACCCCCATAGAATTAAAAAGTCGAAATTAGTAAGGAAATTAATAAGCACTAAAATAATATTTTCTACTCGTTCATTTTCCCAGAACCTTCAGGGTAAGCTTATGTATGATACTCTCTCCCAGTGTTTCTTCTAGATTTTTTTCTCCAGGCGGGGGGGGGGGGGGGGGGGAAGGGCACCTGAAATTTTTGGTGAATGGGGCGGACATAATTTTTCTTGGGAGGGGGACACTGTTAAAAGTATATATATTTCCTACATAAATTCTATTTCGTTCGGGGGGGCGGGGGGGCGGGGAGGGGGGGGGGGGGCGGTAGACTTTCTTCTGGGAGGGTGGTTGGAGTGAAGCATGACAGAAACTCTGCTCCCTCCAACCATTCTTTGTCGTTAAAGTATATCAAAAGGTCTTATATCGTTTGCACTTACAAGAACAACTTGATTTTATCTTTCAATTAAAAGCACGATTTAATACATTTCGTTTGACTGCCAGTGTAGAAAAGAAAAACCTCGTGATCTTTATTAATGTCTTTGCGCAGTTCTTTATGGGCCCCGGAATTAGTATAATTTACGACTTTCACTAGCAATGGAGTCGGAAGAGTCTTGCTGGCGAGGACGTACCGGTGAAGCATGCAGTAGATTCCCCTTGTTTAGGGAGCTCAATCTTTTACTGTTTTCTGAAAGCCCGATTTTGACCTAAACATTGATGGCGCACCATCCGTACAAACCCCCACAGCCGTTTTAACCCATTTTAATCATCCAGTTTCAAATAAACGTATTTATTTTCTCCATGCTATTTTACCAAATAGCTACTCTTCTTTGCTATGATCTGGATGAATATATTTCACACAGACAAAGCACTGCGAACACGAGCTCACGTCTGTTGATTTATCAACTTGAAAAACCAACATTGGTGAAAGCTTGATTTAATTCAAAATGTGTTTTTTTTTACATTTACGGACATGTCTGCTATATGCCGCCGAATAGTATTATAAAACAGAGATATTTGTTGCATCTTTACTGTACTGGAATCCCTAAGAATTATTTTCACCATCTTCAACATGCATGGTTTGTTGATTTTTCAAATATTTTTTTTGCTTGGCAATTTCTATCGCGACTTTATATGATGTTGTGTTTCCTTGGTGAAAACATCCTTCACGCCGACGAAAGTACTTCATATCGTTTTTGGTACGTTCCGAATGACTCGTCGCAAAATGAGGTTTTAGTTTTGAAGATTTCCTGGGAACAACTTTGCACATTATGCATTGTTTCTTCTCTATTTCATTTCTAGTGATGTTTTTAAGGCCAAATTTCAGATATTCTTCTAAAAATTTAAGTTTTGTTTCTCAATGCTTAGGTTTAGTATACCAGTTTGCGACCCCCCAGAAAGCCCTTCGCGACCCCCAAGGGGGTCGCGACCCCCAGTTTGGGAACCCGTGCCTTAGACAGATATTGAAATTGTGATGGCAGGACAAAGTGCCGAACATAGAACTATGGAGGAAAGCTGGGCAGGAGCCCTTGAGTGTGCAAATAAGGAGGAAGTGGCGCTGGGTGGGTCACACACTGCAAAAGGCTCACCCAAATGTTACACGCCCAGCGCTTGAGTGGAACCCCCAGGAAATAAATCAGCTCACTTGTTGATGATTGTTGGAGGGGAGAAGGGGCGGTACTGTAATATGAAACACATGTTGACGATAAAGGAAAGTGTTGCTGTTGGGGGGTGGGGGGGGGGTCAAACCCCCTTTTAAGTACATCCTGTGATCAGCCAAGCGTTCTGCTCAATTAAGCATTACGTGTCAACGTCTTAAGCTCCATATGTTAATTTTGATTTCGGGGTGATTTTCTTTCTAGGCCTGCTTCCATAGCAATTGTCAACCCAAGAACATTTTGTTTTCGGAGTTATCTCTCCTAGATGAGCAATGTTTCTTCCGGTTCCCAGAAAGAACCGCAACGGAAAAAAGCGCAACGGAAAAAAGCGCAAAAGAAAAAGCGCAACGGAAAAAGCGCACACGGAAAAAAGCGCAAAGAGAAAAAAGCGCACACAGAAAAAAGCGCAAACAGAAAAAAGCGCAAACAGAAAAAAGCGAGATTCACTCAAGTACAGAAGAAAACGTAAATTCACAAAGCACTATTATATAGGTATAGAGTTAGAGTCAGTATTCTTGGTAGGTGGGGAGTAATTCCCTAGTGGGGTAATTGACAAGGGGTAGTTCCTCTAGGGGGTAATGTCGGGAAGGGTATATCCAGCATGGGGTAGGTAATTGAATGAGGGGGGGGGGGGCGGGATTAATGTCCTAGACCCATAGGAAAGGGGGGAGAACTGGTTATACAAATGTGACACAATTATCTTTGTTTTTTTAATATCTCTAGGACAAAAAATATATAAACTATTATAAAAACATTCTTTGATAAGAACATATATATGTACAGTGTGATTGTGAGGGGGGGGTGGGGGATTAGAAGATCTAACCACCAATTGTGAGGGTGGGGAAAAGACAGCAGCACGATCAAACGTGAGGGTGTGGGTGAATGAAGATGATGAAGAAGATCCAACATAGTCGAATTCAAAATATCATTTCTTTATTTACACAAATCAGTTACCTAATTCTACCTAAATAGTCTATACTATAGTATGCTGTCTACTAACACTAGCTAACTACAACTTCTATCTAACTGCACCCTCCCATGACCAACACTAACACACTATCTACATCTAAATCTCTACCTAACTCTACAATTCTCCGAATGTTCCCTATCGCTATCTAACAACCAACTGTCTGATCTAACTACTGACCCACGCTCAGTGGTCAGCAGACCGTCCCACGTGACCGGTCAGCTCCTGTATTTTCAATTGGTCTGTTTAGCTAACTAAGCGAAAGCCTGTTTCTAACATCTACCCTGAACCAGCTTCAACACAGTCAATAACAATTATTTCTATATTGTGAGAATCACTGTGTACACAAGATGTATTTTGTGAGAACCTCTAACATGATTTCTATATTGTGAGAATCACTGTGTACACAAGATGTATTTTGTAAGAACCTCTAACATGATTTCTATATTGTGAGAATCACTGTGAACAGAAGATGTATCTTGTGAGAACCTCTAACATGATTTCTATATTGTGAGAATCACTGTGAACAGAAGATGTATCTTGTGAGAACCTCTAACATGATTTCTATATTGTTAGAATCACTTTGAACAGAAGATGTATCTTGTGAGAACCTCTAACATGATTTCTATATTGTCACAGATCGGTAGGGAAAGCAGCCATGGTGCAACGTTTTTGTGAAGGCTCATTCCGTACAGCGTATTTCCCCCCAATGTAAGTAAATAAATAGTAATACAAATTTGTTTTTTTTTTCCATTTTGTTTAGAGATATCTTTTTTTTCCATTTTGTAGACAGATTCCGCACACCCATTTTTTGACAGTTTTTTAGCCATTTTGTTGACAGATTTTTTCTATTTTGTTGACAGAGTATTTTTGCATTTTGTAGACAGATTTTTAAAAATATTGTTGACAGATTTTAAAAAAAAATTGTGTTGACAGATTTTACCACAGCACCGTTGAAATGACAGTGGATGAAAAGAAGGTCAGCCTTGACCTGATTTCTACATCTGGTCAAGAAGATTATGACAGGCTGAGGCCTCTGTCATACCCTGGAGCTGTGAGTGGTTACTTAAGTAGTGGTAGCGCGGCTGGTGTTGGTATAGTGGTAGTGGTAGTGTTGATGGTGTTAGTTGAGTTGTAGTGGTAGTGCTGGTTGTGTTGGTTTAGTTGTAGTGGTAGTGCTGGTGGTGTTGGTTTAGTTGTAGTGGTAGTGCTGGTGGTGTTGGTTTAGTTGTGGCTGGTGGTGTTAGTTTAGTTGTAGTGGTAGTGCTGGTGGTGCTGGTTTAGTTGTAGTTGTAGTGGTAGTGCTGGTGGTGTTGGTTTAGTTGTAGTGGTAGTGCTGGTGGTGTTGGTTTAATTGTAGTGGTAGTGCTGGTGGTGTTGCTTTAGTTGTAGTTGTAGTGGTAGTGCTGGTGGTCTTGGTTTAGTTGTGGCTGGTGGTGTTGGTTTAGTTGTAGTGGTAGTGCTGGTGGTGTTGGTTTAGTTGTAGTTGTAGTAGTAGTGCTGGTGGTGTTGGTTTATTTGTAGTGTTACTGTTAGTGCTGGTGGTGTTGCTTTAGTTTAGGGCTTCTGGTAGTTTACTAGCACTAATGGTACTATTACTGCTGGTTCAAAAACACTTGTGCCAAAAGGTTCAGTGATGTTACAACCAAGGATATTTTATAGTCATGGTAGATCCAGAGATATTCTACATACTTAAGTCATGGGAAGGTCAAGGCTATTCTACATAAATCTTTCGAAGGTCAAGGATATTCTACAGACAGGTCATGGGAAGGTCAAGGATATTCTACAGACTTAAGTTATGGGAAGGTCAAGGATATTCTACAAACTTAAGTCAGGGTAGATCCATTGACCTAACTAAGTCAGAGTCCACCCAGGCACTAGTTAATTAATTACTGGTACATCCAGTGACTTAATTAAGTCAGGATACATCCAGTGACTTCAGTAAGTCAGGCTACACCCAGTAACATCCTATAGACTTAAGTCAAGGTAGTCTAAGGGTGCCTTATAACCTTTAATCAATTAATTCATTTCACACATTAAAACACCTAACTTTGAACAAACAATCACCTTCTACGTCTCCACCATACCATTCCACAACTGATATAACACCTTATAAAAACATGAAATAAGGAAGTACATTTCTGTCATTTGCCCCCTCTTTGTTATGATTTCACTCTTGTTATTTTCATTTCATTTTAAAATACTTACCGTTGCACACACTGTTAGCCATTAAATACAATATACCATCTATATTTGTGTTATATTAGATTTAAGATGCACTTACACGGGGGCGTGTCTGGTCACTGAAAAACTGTAATTTCAACTACTTATCCCACTTTGTTGCAGGAAATATATGAGATCAACTGATTTGAAAAGTTGCATTGCTTTTACTTGGTAGATAGGGTGGGGATATGTTAATGTTGACTATGTACATTAGGTATGTTAATAATGACCACATACATTAGATATGTTAAGGTTCATTATGTACATTATTTTAATGTTTACTATGTACATTAGATATGTTAATAATGACCCCATATGTTACATATATAATGTTCACTATGTACATTAGGTGGTCATAATGACTACATACATTAAATATGTTAATGTTCACTATGTACATTAGATGGTCAAAATGACTACAATCGATAGATATGTCAAGGCTAATGTGTTAATAAGTTAATGTGAACCATATATGTTATGTATGTTAATGTTGACCACATACACTTTATATGTTAATGTTGTCCATGTATTTTATGTATGCTTTTGTTGACCATGTAGATTATGTATGTTAACTTGCACATTGTACATTCTATATGTCATTTTTGATCACATTATATAAGTGAATGTTGACCATGTGTGTTATGTATGCTATTGTTGATCACATACATTATACATATTTATGTAAGTCCCCAGAAAAATATGCATTAGGAAAACTGCGCAATGGAAAAATGTGCAAATACAAATTAACTATACTAAAGCACTTTATTTTTGTCGTATTTCACGGAAATATGTTTTATTATGCTACGATGTAGTCCATCTTTGTTAATAATTAAGAAAACTAAAATGGCCTTGTGCAATTTTTTGTGCGCAGCTTTCCGTTGTGCAGTTTTCTGTATCGCACCATTGTACATTATCTATATATATAATTCTCTTCTGGGAGCCGCTAGAAAACAAGCTGTAAACGCGCTACCTGTCACCCCCACCCCTACATGGTCTTAGTGAGCTGTGTTCGCTCTAAATGTTTACAAACAGAGCCGGGTTTTGTGACGACTATCAGGGGCAGATAATTTAGTTTGACACAATTTTAAATGTAGGGGGGGAGGGGGGGGGGAAGGAAGGGGGGGGGGTTATGGTCCTTAACGAGCTATTTATAGTGTTTTAAACAAATATTTTCAGTGGCAGCGTTGGTACTGTCGAATTCACAAATTATGAATTACTGAAAAGTAGAAAAAAACAACAACTAAATAGCGGCGTATGTTATGCCGCGGGCCGGCTCGTATATGTTATTAGGACCATGTATGTTATGAAATATTTGAAGCGCTTCTATTAGAGGCCTTAAAAAGGAAATTGAAAGCCTCCATATTGGGAATTTGCACCTGTATAAAACTATTTTATTGGTTTTTTTTGGTCAAGGACCTTGTTATTAACAAAAGATAGGGAGATGAACATTATTTTTTATGTACTTAAAAATTAAAATTAAACGTACCGTTACCATAACATTCCTAGATATATTTTAGAGAAATTATTTATAACCTAGGTTGTTACTAAATTAAAAGGTTATCTTCTCTTAGTTATATATATATATATATATATATATATATATATATATATATATATATATATATATATATATATATATATATATATATATATATATATATATATATTTGTTTTGTTTAGATTGATACAATTTTTGTTTTGTCGGCCTACATTGTGTGTTTTTTCTTATTTCTTCAGAGTGCTACTTTCAATTTATCTTAAATCATACGGAAGTAATGACATACAGCTAGTAATTATATATATATATATATATATATATATATATATATATATATATATATATATATATATATATATATATATATATATATATATATATAGAACGTGTTAAAAATTCGGCGCCTTTTTTTGCTCTTTTCGCTCCCCCTACAACGAAAACCTGGATACGCCTCTGGTCGGGGTACACCCAGTGACATAATTAAATCGGGTAGAACCAGTGATGTCTTAACGAGTTAAGTCAAGTTAGACTTAGGGTGCCATGTAACCTTCAATCAATTAATTCATTTCACACCATGAACATCCTACACATTGAAACAATCACCTTCTACTTCTTCACCATACCATTCCATAACTGATACAACACCTTATAAATACATTAAATAAGGAAGTATATTACTGTTATTTGCCCTCTCTCTGTTATGATTTCACTCTTGATATTTTCATTTCATTTTAAAACACTGTTGCACACACTGTTAGCTATCAAATACAGTATGTCATCTGTATGTGTATTATATTAGATTTAAGATGCTCTTACACGTAGCTATTTGCAGCTTTATAAAACAAAATCTATTTTATTATTTTTTTTTCATGGACCTTGTTACTGACACAAGACTGGGGGGGGGGGGGGGTCGTTAATCTGAATGTACTTAAAAATTAAAATTAAAAAGACCACTATCATAACATTCCTAGATATATTTTAGAGAAATTATTTATAAATTAGGTTGTTACTAAATTAAAATGTTATCTTTTCTTAGTTAAGAGCAAAGCTAGAGTTACAATTTTGTTTGTTTTAGATAAGCTGAAAAATCACTAAATCCAATTTAAAGTATCAAATTAGTCACTGATCTACTTTTAGATTTATAAGAGAATATGTCACAGGTATATACCATGCTTTATAAGGGGACCATAACATATTTGTGAAACTTTATATTTGTTATTGTTGGATAAGGTTTTAAGTCTACTTTGAATCATGAGATTATATCATGGATGGTATTTTTTTTAATATATTTGTTTTATTACATGGATTTTTATGCGCTTTCTTTTGATTTAAATTCATATTTGTGTTATTGGTTCTAACAATTTGTGTTAGTTGTCACAGACTGTATTATTATGTATCTTTATTATATTGTGTTTTGCATGAATGAAGAGTACCTGGCTAGCGGAAGGACTGTCTGAGCGATCGTCATGTGTTTTTCCGTGTTTTGGGTGAGATCGCTCATTGACGTAAGGGGAGAGAAAGTGGTGAATAAAAGAGAGAGCGAAAGGTGAACGGGTGTTGTGTGCTAGGACTTGGGACTGGAACGATGGCAGTGAATGTAAGATGTCTCCATGACTTGGAGTCGTGATTATTATTTGTACCTATATCAGTTGATCTTCAAATATGGATGTACCACGGATTTATCTGTACATAGTGTAAATAAAGTTGTCATTTGAAGTTGCCACTGTTGCTCGTGTTCCTGTATGAAAGCTAACCCACAACAACAAAGAATTCATGTTGTTACATATGGTGTCAGAAGTGGAGGCAATAAAGTGATGTTGCTACATTGTATTACTGTTACTTATGATGTCACAAGTGGTTGAAGAATTGGTGCTACATATGTCAGAAATGGAGATATTACAGTCTGTGGTCTTCCACTGTTTACCAAGTACGTCAAGTTCTTGAAAGTCATCTATCTACACTCAAGTCAGAAGGGTTGCTGTAGTCAAGTCAGACGTTCTGTTCAAGTCAAGTCATCAACGTGATAATTTTTATCACCTTATTTCGATATTGTCTCACCAATGTCGAGTAAATATCGTCTGTGTGTTTTTTCTGTTTGGATTTAGCCGATCAAGTCTTAGTGTTTCTTTTCTACTGTTTGGATTTAGCTGTTCAAGTTTTTTCTATATGGATTAGCTGTTCAAGTTTTTCTACTATTTGGATTTAGCAGATGAAGTTATTTTTTGTAACTGTTCCTAAACTGTTCCTAAAGATGTCTTATCTAAAACTGGACAAATTTCTACTCTGTAACAGGCTACTAGAACTATTTTGAATTTTTTCAACTTTTTGGAAGCAACAAAGTGAACTATTTTTGGACATATATATGTACTATGAACTTTTCTTGGATTACCAGATGTCTGTAATCAACTAAAACAAGCCAGAAACCAAGAAAGGGTATTGTAAATTAATTAACATTTATCTCTTGTTAACTAATGAATTTATATTTTATGTCATAAATAGAAAACAGATCAAAATGTCAAGTCGTACATATTTTAAAGAGCTAATGAAGGAGCTCGACATTCCGATGGTCAAGATGTCAAGACTAGAAGAATATATGGAAATGGCGAGGGATCTAGGCATTAAGAAGATGAAGAAGAAGATAGCCTGGGCAACCAATCGACTTGAACAAGACAGAGAAGGAGAAAAAGAAGCATTAGACAAAGAAACAGAACAACCCCGACTAGTTCACGAAGCAGTAATTAGAGAATTAGATGATGAGATAGAAATAATGCGTGATAGATTAAGAGATGCTACATACACACATGAACCAAAATTAGAAAGTCAACAGGCAGAACTTGAAGAAGTAAATATTGGCAACCTTTGGAATGAAGAACAGAGTAACATAGTCCAGGAAGAATTGAAACCCAAGGATAAAACAGAGGTAGAACTTAATAATGATTTAAAGGTGACAGATACATTAGAATGTTTTAAGATTGACTCTTTATTGACTCAAACGCAGGTACACGAGAATATTATTGAAAGTTGTATCACAAGTCCATCAGAGAATGGCAGTCAACAAGAAACAAGTCCATCAGAGAATGGTAGTCAAAATGATTTAATAAGCCCATCAGTCAATGGCAGTGATGATTTAATAAGTCCATCGGAGAATGGCAGGAATCATGATAAACTAATGATGATTAATGAATCAGTGAACTTAATAAGCCACAATGAAGAGAACGTACCTATTGAGGAGTTACTTAGAAATCTGGAGTCAAACTATAAAGAAGATATACTAGAACTCAAGAATAAATTTAACAAAGAAATGGAGAAATTAACACAGAAATTTATGTGTGAATTAGAATCAATAAAGAAACACAAGGAAGTTAAGAAAGATGAAACAATACCTAGAAACTACAATGTCAATAAATTACAAACTGATAGTAAAAGAAACGTATCAAACTATGAATACAGTCACCATGTTAATAAAAATGTCATTAATGTCATTAATGCACAGAATGAAAGAAAAAGAAATTTAGCAAACTATGAATACAGTCACCATGTTTATAAGAAGCCAAAATCTAGATGTTTTTACTGCGGAAAAACAGGTCATTACCAAAATCAATGTTGGCATAGGTTGGCAAATCAGAGAAGAAACAATTATGTACACAGAAAGTCATGTGAGAAATACAGTAATTTAAGAAATAATGTATCAAGTTCAAATCAGAATAACAAAAGTGTGAATAGGTATACTAATGGAAGTTACCGACGCAACACATATTATGAGAGGCCAAAGCAATGCCATAATATTTATATTAAGTTGGTTGATGAACCAAACGAATGTACACAAAGTAAGAAAACAACTGACGTTGTTCAGATACCAGAAGAGAATATTAAAATAAATGAAGTAACACGAGTTACACGAAATCTAGGAAATGATTATGGTAGCACAGCTAAAAGCTACAATTTGAGGGAGAGATGGCATACAGGTCATCGTCAACTGCACGAGAACGATTACTCATGCTATAGAGGATGCTAAGATAAATTATCAATTGACAGTTTATTAATATTATACAGTCTGTAACTGTAATATATAAATATCAAATAATGTGTTTGAGTAAACATAAATTGTGTACTATATCTAAAGAATGTAAACTGTATTATGTTAAACCTATTCTATACTATTAACAGGGAATAATGTATAAAGTAAAAGTTAGAGACTATTTATTCCGCATAACAATAAGACGGAAGTCTCAATGATGAATTGTGTATCAGTCGATACCTGTGAAAGGCAAGAATGTTGTGTTGTGACCTAGATATGACTGAAATGGGTCGACTAGGGGAGACAATAAGGTATATTACTTATGTGTAGTAATAACATGCCTTGATGATAAGGAAGTTTTTTTTACTACATAGGATATAATTATTTAATTCATGAGTTGAATTAAGTCTTTGATAATTTCAACTATGTATTATAGTTTGGTAATTCACTAAACTCATTTGTCTTGTTTATACAATTACTTGGTAATTGAAATGTTTTTCTTTCTCATATTTGAATATATTACACATAATGCTTGTGCATTAGTCTACAAAGAATGTATCTTTCCATGTTTTTTGAGATGTATAAAAATTTTGTTGTCTGGCACATGATCCTGCCCTACCAATATTGTATTTATAAATTTTGTTACACAAAATTTTATTCGAAGGGGGGACGTGTCACAGACTGTATTATTATGTATCTTTATTATATTGTGTTTTGCATGAATGAAGAGTACCTGGCTAGCGGAAGGACTGTCTGAGCGATCGTCATGTGTTTTTCCGTGTTTTGGGTGAGATCGCTCATTGACGTAAGGGGAGAGAAAGTGGTGAATAAAAGAGAGAGCGAAAGGTGAACGGGTGTTGTGTGCTAGGACTTGGGACTGGAACGATGGCAGTGAATGTAAGATGTCTCCATGACTTGGAGTCGTGATTATTATTTGTACCTATATCAGTTGATCTTCAAATATGGATGTACCACGGATTTATCTGTACATAGTGTAAATAAAGTTGTCATTTGAAGTTGCCACTGTTGCTCGTGTTCCTGTATGAAAGCTAACCCACAACAACAAAGAATTCATGTTGTTACATTAGTCATTTTTTTGATACCTTATGTCTGATTTATTACTTTGTGTATGCAAGACTTTATGTATTTAATTATATATATATATATATATATATATATATATTTCAAAACTACTGACGAATTTGCACTAATTTGTTTGTATTTTTGTCTTTTTTTTTGATGATTTAGGACTGTTTCATTCTCTGTTTCTCATTGTGTAGCGAAGATAGCGCAGAGGACATCAAGGAAAAGGTAAAGAAAAAGATTTTAGAATTATGTTTTCTTTCATAAGTGTATATTGTATAAGTTTATTAAGAATCTCATTTGTAATTAAAACAAAAATGGTGATGCAAGACGATGCATGTTTGCTTCTGTTGGGTTTAGCAGTTTTGTATTCTCCGAATGAGATTGATTTGAAACCGAGGACACTTTGCACTTTGTCTATTACAAGATCAAGTTCAATTTTCACTTTTGATTTTCAGAGAATTGTCTAAATCTAGTGTTATATAGATCCATCTACAAATAACCCTTTCATGATGGTGGTGTATTTTTGTGTGTTTTAATAAATAATCTCAGTTTAGCTCTACCTCAGTTGTAACATTTAGACCGATATTGATAGCTCAGTCTTAGCATGATTCTTGTAAAAAGGCACTATTGTATCAAGGTGGGTTTGTGTGAAACCACTTTAAGAGTTAGGACTAGGGTCATGATAAGAAATGGGAAAATAATTTTAAATGGATAGAGGGAAAAACTAGTTTTTAAAAAATGATTCAAAGGGGTAGCAGAAAGAACCTATTTATGAAAATTGACTTTAATGGGTATGGGAAAAAATCTATTTTTAAAAATTGACTTGAATGGGTAGGGGAAAGAACCTATTTCTTAAGAGTGACTCAGTTGTTGGTGAAAAATTTTTATGTGAATATTGACTTGGAGAGATGGAAAACACATGTTTTCAAGATAAAACAGCAATGTTTAATAGTAGATTTGCTAGCATTATAAATTAATGGTGTAGTCTAAAAAATACTAAAAATTAAATTTATTTATCTTCGCATTAATAAGATTAAATAAAAAAGAAATTAATATGTATTAATAATGCCCATATAATAATGTTCATAAAATAATGTCCATATAAATGAGGAGCCCAAATTCAAAAGGGCTTAAGTGCCTTCAATTTTTCTAAAAAAAATGAAAATTGATCTTACATTTTAAATCACTTAGACACCTTTATGTGCGCCAAAATTCAGTCTATAGCTGGAACTGGTAAAGGTGAAATTAAAAAGGGGCTTAACTCATTTTTTAAGAAAAGTGTACTTAAGCCCCTTTTTATTTGGGCTTCTCAAATAATGTCCATATAATAATGTATCAAATATATTATGTAACTTGTATAACCACAGAGTTTTCATATTAAAATTATACAGCAAAGAAAACAAAAAAATAATAATGTATCATTAAAATTTTTAAAATTGTGCTTTATCCCTCTAGTGGTACCCAGAAATTCGCTATCACTGTCCCTATGCACCATTCATTCTAGTGGGCACTAAGCTAGATGTAAGGCAAGATAAGGATATGCAGGCTGGTGGTGAAAAGGTAAGATATTATTTGTGATAGCTTTAAACCCTGTGTTTGCTTGGAAACATTTAACTTTGATAATCATCGCAAAAACAGCAAGGTATTAGAACCCCACCCCACGTCTTTTGGACTCCTTTAAAATAGCAACGACGTTATGATAATTTACAAATGGTGAAGAATGTGTTTGTGTCTATTTCAATTCATTGTTAATGTTAACTGGGTCCAAAGCAGAATTGTTCCACAAATGTTATGCATAAAAATGCTCAATTTATTTTGTGGGTCTATCCGTTGTTTTGTTGTTTGTTTTTTTTTTTTACATAGTGTACGTTATACTGACTGAAAATATATTTATTATCCAAGGTCGTGTCCAAATCAGAAGGGGAGAAAATCGGGAAATCTATCAAAGCCTACAGGTACCTAGAGTGCTCTGCCTTGACCCAAGAAGGACTAAAAGACGTTTTTGAAGAAGTGGTTAGAGCTATTCTGTACCAAAAACCCAAGCACAAAAGTAATTGCAAAGGATGTGTTATGTTATAGTTTTGTTTTAAATTATTTATTTGATTCATTTCTCCAACTGTTTTTATTAAATAGTTTTATTTTACTTTGAACCAAAAGATGCTGAATTTTTTTCAGCATTATCTTTTAGAATAGGCAAATTCTAAACATTTAAATAATTGGTAAATGCTTGAAATCTTAAACGACATTTTAAAAATTTGATATTTCTTCATCACCCTAAAACTAATTTTTTTTTAATCTAATAAAAGTTAGATTTTTACTACCTGTTTTGCTGTGAGGGTTATGGTCGGGATAAGATAAACAGTTGTATTAGGTTGCATTAGGTGTTTGATACTTGTAAACATTTTGTTTGCATTTTAATAAGTAAAATATTTTTATTAAAAAAACAATTAATTTTCAGCAAAAATATTTTATTGTCTTAACTGCATGGTATTCTGCCTACAGAATTTACTTTTGATTTAGTTTTTGTTTAAATATGTTTTAAATATTTAAATACACCAACAGTATTTATTATTGAAATATGTGTATGAACCAAGACGAATGCTTTTTGAATGTTTTTGACAGACTGAATGTAATTGAATGTGTATAAAAAAAAATTTCCACCGAGCATTTACTCTGACTTGCCTATTTGCCCATGTGTAAGATGTTTAAGCAAGCCTTATTTTCTTTGTACTGACTGCTCTTAGGTTCACAAATTTCAATGTTTATCTGGCAAACTGCTGTGTATATACTATTATAGAGTAAAACAATTTGATACAAATGACTTTTTTTTCATTATTTGATACATATAAATTTAATATTTTTAAAATTATAATTTCAATCCAATCAGACTAACTCATAAAATGTTTGAATCATTGTTTATTGATGAATAGTTTCATTAATTTTTATAGAGATCTGTACTTTATTTTATGTATATATTTTTTAAACACACCTTTAAATTTGTATAGCAATTCATAAAAGGTAATTTTGATGGTTAAAAACAAAATTTAAACCAAAAAACACAATATTAAAATATGAAGGTGGATCTTAAAATTCACTTAAGGTAAAATTGCCTGGGTTGATAACCATCTATATAAACACAAAATCAAAGTGACTTACTTTATTTTGCATGAATTCAAGACACTTTGGTATGTCAACTATGTTGCTTATACATGTTTAAAATAATTATTTTATTTTCCAAATTAACATTAAATTTAATTTGAGATAAGTAAAAGTATCACTTTTTGTGTAAAGTATCTTGCAGGCTAAGATTTTATGGTCCAAACTTTCTCTAGATATAAAGATGCAATAAATCGTGGTATAAGTATAAACATGTAAGTTTACAGATTCACTAATGATAATGGTGGTTGCAAATTCATCAAGTCATTCAGTCTTAGCTTGTTATATGGTTAGCTTCCTGTGGTAAGATGGTCATTCCTTGGACACTTAGGCTACTGACACCTAGGCTAATTGGTTCTCCTGACACTTAGGCTACTGATATCTAGGCCAAGGAGTTCTAATGACACCTAGGCTACTGACACCTAGGCTACTGAGTTCTTCTCTGAGCCATTCCCTCCAACTGCCTCAGTTGTAAACCATCTTTCTTATGACCACCCCCTCCCCCCGTCTGGTCAGCATGTGGTTGTCCAAATATGATGTCATACTCATAGAGGTGAGGGGCATTGAACTCCAGTGACAATGTTTGTTGAGGAGCCCACTATTAAATACGAAAAAAAAATCCTGTTTTTATTTGTAAAAAAAACCCACCTATTTAGGGAGGGTAGTGTAAATTGTGACATCATTTACAGAGGCTTTTGACTTTAGTGACAATTTGTGTGTTGCGTATCATAAATTGTCACATTAAATAAGGGAGGCTTCTCACTTAAGTGACAATATTGGATGCTGGAGAAAGATGAGTGTTTTAAAATACATGACCTCATTTATGGGCAACCTATAAGCCGAGTGTTTTCCAAATGAATAGAATGATCAGCGGTGCCTTCTCTAGGTTACACAATTATACGATGGCCCACAAATTTCATCGATTTCTTGTATTCCTATAAAAAATTTACTGAGCTTCTTTTATAGCTTTTAATCAGAGAATCATAAATCATTTCGAATAAGTTGTTTGCCTTGTAAATCGTCAAATTTAATTTGTTATGCATTTAAGATGTGATCAATTCATAAAAATACTTTTTCACATAGTTCACTACTCTTTTTTATGTTAACTGATACGTTCTTTTCTTATATAATTCATCTAAAGTATTAATTGTGTTCACAAGAGCATATTGAGGACAATTAATCCTTGTGGAGTGAAAAGTAAAAAAGTAAAGTTCCCTTTCGAACATGACGATCTATAGGGCAAATGAAATAAAGTTCACTTGTTTCTGTGACCTCGGCATATGAAGAGATAGTGTGGTCAGCATTATGCGTTTATGCCGAGCCACCTTTACTTTCCCTAACATGAGTTAGGTACCCATTAGAGTTGGGTGGACTCAGGGATGGTCTACTGACTTGAACCCGGATTCGAACTCGAGACTAACGGGTTAGCAGTCCAGCTCTCTACTGCTAGAACACTCTATCCCAGTGGAGTTAAATAGTGCAGAAAATATGGACTAGTTTATAAGCCATCCCTACTAATTCATATCATTAACATCACAGATACTTCATCCCTAATCTTAAGGGCTGTAGTGCTCTCATTTACAATATTTACAAGTGATTATGGTATGCATGTGGTTTTTTACTAATGATAAGAATTGAAAATCTGATGGCTGTGAAAATGTAAAAAAATGTGCTGCATTGAAGATTGTGTGGAAGATGAAATTAGGGTGAAACAGGAATGTTTTTTAATAGCGCTAAACAGTGTTTTTAGTAGAACCAAAATGTTTTTTTCTGGGGACCAAAATGTTTTTAATGGAGCCAAAATATTTTAAATGGGATCAAAATATTTTTTATTGAGATCAAAATATTTTTTTTTTAATTGTGACAAGATGTTCTTATTGGAAATATGTTTTATGTTGAATCAAAATAAATCTTTTGAGACCAAAATGTTTTTAGTGGAACCAAATTTTTTTAAACTGAAATCTGATTGTTTTTAATAAACAAAAGAGTTTTTAGTGAGATAACAATATTTTAGTAAACCACAAAATTTAGTTTAGTGGGCCTGAAATGTTTTGTGAAAACAAACTGTTTTCATTGATTTGGATATATTTTTAAAAATTTTGTCTGTTTAAAATTTAAGAAATAATTGTTTCTATGCTCTTTATTTGCTCTGACAGTAATTAAAGCAATGAAAATAATTATTTCAAATATGTTATACACTTCCAAAATTTAAATGTTTAAACGGTTTTAAAAATTTAAACAATTTTTAAAAATTATTGCTGTATTTTACATTAGTTGTATGTATTATAACCTCAAACATTTGCTTTATCTTTCTCGAAAAAAAAACCAAGTATCATTATAAAAATGAATTAGGCCTTAAAAGTTTTTCCCCTTCTCTGCCTTGAATGTATGCAAAAATAAATCTTAAACCAAAGTATTTTTGAATATACTTTTGTGCTACATGAATAAATCGTATAGATAAAGACATCTCTGAGAGCATCACTGAAATGTGTAATTAAAATGGAATAAGCCACTACATGTGTAATTAGTTCTTGTTACGTTATGTACTAAGTTTTTGCATAACTCACACCTCATTAAATTAAACCATGACAAAATTATCATTCAATTCATCAGCGTAGTTAAAATTACCGTACTTTAAAAAAACCTGATTGGATGTTAAGTTGAATGGGAAGATCAAGACCGCTATTACTTTTTATTGGAGCTAGAGCAATAGATTCTGAACAGTGGCATTTGCAGCAGTTTATAGCCTTTAAGCTTTGTAGGCTACATGACTTGTATGCAGGGGTCGTCCATATATTTTCTTTGTTCTTAATTGTAATGTTGGAAGAGATTTCCTCCAACACAATTAAGTATTACAAGTCAACTTGTTATGCACCACGTAGGTCGTTGAATCCGATTTCAGCCTGTTTTTCTTTCTGGATTCGCTTCCTTAGCCTTTGAACCTGGGGTTCGAACTCGAGACTTTTCATCTTAGCAACCATGTGCCCCGACCACACAGACCCCTAGTCCATATATGACCTCATATATTTTAGAGTGTTTTTAATACTCCACCCCCCATATACACACACACATTCCAGACTTTCCTTCTGTCATCTATTTGTGAACGTCTACACCCCCCCCCCCCCACCAGCGAACGAAGTAAAACTTAATATATGAAATGACTACTTTTACCAGTGTCTGCTCCCTCCCCCCTTCCAGAAAATATCAAGTGCGCCCCCCCCCCCCCTCCCCGGGGTGGAAAAAAGTCTGAAAGAAACACTGACATTATCCTCACTCACAAAAGCAGCGTAACTATGTTTTTATTTTATTTCTTTAATGCACTTTAAAAACAGCAAACATGTGTGCTGGTGGTATGTCAGATTTCATTAAATCCCCAACCCCCTACCTCTAAATAACACATCTTCATAAAAGTTTAAATCCTACCCCTTTGTAGTATGACTTCATCAATGGACGACCCTCGATAATAAATCATTCTTGAATTCTGGATGAGAAGAATTGTAACAGAAACAAAATATTTGTTACTTGTACATTTCTTAAATGATTATATTCGCTGCGGCAATATAAAATGTATTGTTTGTAATTTTTTTTACCACCGCATGGATTTGTCAATAAATTTATTCTAATTGTGCTGTTGTTGATGAGTTTTATTTTTGCTGTACATTTAAAGGGATAAACTCAGTTTTCCACAACTTTTTAAAAGCTTTTATTTAACTCACTTCCTCTGTGGTCAGTCGTCAGTCTGTCGTCAGTCTAGATCGAAACGCAGGAGTGAAAATTCGGAAACTTCTACTTGACCGATACGATTCACATTTGGCACGTGGGTCAAGACATGAAGACAATGCAATCTGAAACTAAATTTGACTTAATTGGATGACTAATTAATTTTTTATGAATTAATTAAAATTTGGACCGAATTAGTAGGCATGTCTATCCAACCACACCACACGCGTCATCACGTTCCATAGCTGCGCCATCAGGTTGAATAGCTGCGCCATCACGTTCAATAGACGCGCATGTAACACTATTGTAAATACAACATGTAAAGTACTGAAAAAAAATTCATAAAAAAAAACGTTTTAATAACAAGCTTTTATGTAGATCTAGTAATGCACTAAAAAGTAGAAAATAAATTATACACTACTATTTAAATTACTTTAAAGAAAAGCGTGGGTCTCTTCTCAAATATTAGTAAAGGTATAAAATAGGTACTAAAGTACTTAAGTGACCCACGCTTTTCTTTATAGTAATTTAAATAGTAATGTATAATTTATTTTCTACTTTCTAGTGCATTACTACATAAAAGCTTGTTATTAAAACGTTTTTTTATGATTTTTTTTTTCATATTCCTTAACTTTTTCATTTTCCTAAACTTTTCCTCATATATGCCATACTGCCCCCCACCATTTAAAGTTTCAGTGATCCTTAAGAACTCCGGAGGATCATGTGTCATGTCTTACGTACACATCAACAGAGACATCCCTCTTACTACATTAGCAGAGACACCCATCCAACACATCCATCAACAGAGACACCCTATCCAAGACACTCCATGTAGACGCCCCTCAATCCCATTCAACAGGACACCCTTTCACCCAAAACCCCATCAACAGACACGTTTGCAATCACACCAACAGAGACACTCTATACACAGACACCCCTTCATTCTCCAACCCCCTCCCCCATCCCACCACCTCAATAGAGACACCCCCTCCCCTCAAACTAGTTATCGCCTTCCTTCCATGTGTACACTTAGCTGTATAATTCCACTTTCGCTGTCCTGTTTTGTATTGTTCCCTCGTTTAACTTCCTCAATGTCAGACCAATCACCCCGCATCAACGTTAAGAACCCATTTACTATAAGTACCTTCTTAAGCCTTTTCTCGAATAACAAAGATTTTAAATCCTTGTCTACACAAACTAGCAAATAAAGCACCGGTAAGTAAATATTTTTTGGTGAACTTTTTATCTTTTTTACATTAAACTGCTGAGTTATTTATAGCACAGGTGGGGGTAGGGGTGATAGCACAACATAATATTTTATTATATTTTTACTTTTTTTTTTTAAATTACGTAAGAAGGGCATTTTGTACTTGATTGAAATTACCACATTCTGACCGCCATCCCCGCCGCATTCCTTATTCACTTCCTCCTAAACTAGGGTTTCTTTCTCGCCAGGGTAGGGGGGTGGGGCGGGGGGGGGGGGGGTGGGAGTGGTTCACGAGTACGCCCACCTTCCCCCGGACAAAATATGGGGGGGGGGAGAAAAAAGATAAAATAAACGTTAAACAATTTCTCACCCCGAGAAATTTTAAGTGTGTTCCCTTATGCGCGATTTCAAGTGAGTGCATTTGCACATCTTTCCCGCATACTTCTGGGTGAACCTTCAAAAGAGGTTGGTAAAATTACAGTAATCCCAGCCTTGACACGTGCGTTAGTCGCGGTGTCTAGGTGGTCTGCAAGTCCCTGGTAAAGTTCTGGCCGAAGCTGCTTCTGATGTGTTCTTATGTAGTTCAGATTGTTAGCTTCAACTTGCAGATACGAATCTACAATCCATTGCTGTGTGAGCTTTCCCGTTCCATTGATTGGATTAAACTCAGTCCTTATGGCCGTTAAAGCTGATTTATATTGTGGCATTGAAACCTTATTTCTTTTAGGTAACATATATTATGTTTCTTAGAAGAACATCGGCGTTTCGGTATCTGAACTATTATGCTCTGCTATTACTACACCTAACCAAAATTCTGAGTTATATTACAAGTTTTAAAACATACTAGACTACCCGTTATCTAGTTAGATAACTGTGGGTTTCGGAGGTCATCCATAAATAACATAACGTCTGATACAAAATAACCAGACCCCACGGTTTTTTTTATCTTTTAAAAACATGATTTCGGCTGAGCATGGGTCTTACCACACTATCCCTTCACATACTGACGTCACAGGTGACCTACTCAACTCTACTGCACCTGCTCAGTGTTCCGCCAAGACTCTGACAACAAGGTTTAATCGTTTAAAAAAACTATTTCGGCCGAGCATGGCTCTGACCACACTATCCCTTCAGATGCTGAGGACAAAGAAATAAGTGAACTCTACTTCACCTGCCCTGTGTGCCGCGACGTCCCGATAGGCAAGTTCATCATTCACGTTTAAAAAAACGAATATTGAAAAAAATTGCTTTTTCGTGATGTGTCTCGAACCCGTACCACCCGCATGGTAGCTATTACACTACTAGGGGTACTAACTAATGTAAAATTAGTCCTATAATGTACTTCAAAATAAGAAACCAGTTACGCGAATATGTCTTATTATTTTAAATTTAATTAGGGGCTTATATCCCAAATTAGCTAATTCCATAGCTAAACAAACAAAGATTGATATAAAATAATTAAGGCCTGAAATAGTTTATTATATAGATTCTAGTGCTAGGTTCTATATGTAGAATTTACGTTAAGTCTAGATCTAGATGTAGAATTTACGTTGAGTCTAGATTCTAGTTTTTGCCGTAACTCTAGATCTAGATCTAGACCTAGATAGATAAATCCCATGCATTCTGGAATTAGATGATCATTGAAGCTAAACAAAGATTATATATAATTAAGGCCTGAAATAGATTCTAGATTCTAGATGTAGAATATACATTAAGTCTAGATCTAGAATTTACGTTAAGTCTAGTGACCTAGATCTAGATCTACTAGATATAGATTCATAACATTTTCTTCCTTCAACAGCTGATCTGTAGACCTAGAGAAATGTATTGTATAATAAATTAAAAAGAACTGTTAAAACATTGATAATATTGTTGAAACGTAATAAAAATAGCAAACGGATGTATTGTTAAAGTTATAGCCGACAGAAAATTAGCTTTATGACGCGTTAAAGATCTGAATGGGCAACACAATTTTTGATGGAACCGCCATTGTTGTTTTAAGTAATAAAAAAAAACCATGTGACGTCGCTATTCACTTTAGGTAAAGTCATTGTTTTAAACTTGTATAAATAATGTGGTTAATCAACCAATGAATAAATTAATAAATTAATTAACGTCTTTAAATAAATTTGTTATTAACAGTCCGTCTGAAAACAAAAATTGTTCTCTACCAACATACTATTTTACAGCTCCAACATGGTGCAGATTCTCTCCAGTAGCCAAACAGACAAACAAATAAATATTCAAACATGTAAACAAAGTTGAGTTTTAGTAGTATAAGATAGATAATGGAAAAACTTTAGTTTTATATTGGATACATATTTCGTTAAATTTTAAGTGAGTTCCCTTATCCGAATTTTCAAGTGAGTCGTCCTTACCCCCTCAACCCCCTCCCCCTCCCCCCGACCACTTCGTATCACCCCAAAACACAACAACCTTATCGATAACACCGGATGAACGTTTCCTCCCTGAGGTTAAGATCAATTGATTACGCCTTACGTGTGTGTGTGTGTGTGTGTGTGCAGGGGGGGGGTTGATTAATGTGTTATGACGGAAACCTTATTCACTGTGTAAGGGGTAGTCTATACTATGAGGAGTACGCGATACTATGAATAGGCAGAGCTTTTAGAGATATACGATACTAACCCAAACCCGAGTCAACACAATAGCACACATTTTTCGTGATATCATTCATGATTCCAACCCATGATACCAACCCTAGCCTAAATTAAAACATTAGCACACACATTTCGTGATACTAACCCATGATGCCAACCCTAGCCTAAATCAACACATTAGCACTATTTAGCGCACATATTTCGTAATACCAGTTCACTTTTGGAAGCTTTGATACGCACTTTTTTAGCTGAACATGAACACAACTGTTTCAGGTATCATAGAGTTAACACAGAGTTTTAGATCAGATGGTCCACATGGCAGATGAAATAGCGTTAACCTGTATCCATTAATCCCATTTAGAGCTAAGTACTCATTAGAGCTGATTGCGCGCAGGAATGCTATTCGGGTCTAAGAGCTCGAACTTTCGTGGTGGTAGTCTAAGGATCTACTGCTCAATCAGGTTAATAAAACGTATACAACCAGAGTTTATTCTCGTTTTGACGTATAAAGAATATGCGTAAAAAAAGTTTTAATAACAAGCTTTTATGTAATAATGCAATAAAAAGTAGAAAATAAATCATACACTATTATTTAAATAACTATAAAGAAAAGCGTGAGTCTCTCCCTAAATATTAGACACTAATATTTAAATTACTACAAAGAAAAGCGTGGGTCTATCTATAATAATAGTTTCGCTGTCTGTCTGACAAGAACCCTCTGTCTGACAAGAACGCTCTGTCTCTATAATAATAGTTTCGCTGTCTGTCTGACAAGAACGCTCTGTCTGACAAGAACGCTCTGTCTGACAAGAACGCTCTAGAGAAAACACAAGCAATTTAAAAACATGCACAGTAATTCGAAAAACGAAATATGACGTCGACACATTTAGCGTAGAGTAGAACATAATCTCAAACCAGAGAGTGCACACAGTAATGTAATGACGTCATTGATTCTCGCGTAAACATTGAAAAAAAGGAAATGTTGTCTAATCTAAATGGTTTGCGTGAAGAGTTTCTTGCATACAATTCTTCGGGTAGGGGCGAAGCCCCACCCCCCGCGTAAGAACGTCCCCAACTCAAAAGAAATTTCCTCATCGATACGCTATAATAAAATTACCGCCTAATTAATGTGTCTAATCTAAAAAGTGGTTTTCTTGCAATGGGACGGTAGACATGTTTTTTTGGGGGGGGGGGGGGGGGGGGGGGTGGAGGGGTGGGGGGTGGGGGGGGTGGTGTGTGTGGGGGGGTGGGTTGGTTTCAGTGTTTCTTTCAGACTTTTTCCTCCCCGGAGAGGGGTGGGGGTACTTGAAATTTTCGGGGGCGGGGGTAGAATTTTCTGGGAGGGGGCGGACACTGGAAAAAGTATATAATTATATTTCGTTGAATGGGACGGTAGACATGTTTTTTTTTGGGGGTGGGGGGTGGTGGAGGGGTGGGGGGGGGTGGTGTGTGTGTGGGGGGGGGGGTGTTGGTGTGTGGGGGGGTGGTGTGGGGGGGGGGTGGGTTGGTTTCAGTGTTTCTTTCAGACTTTTTCCTCCCCGGAGAGGGGTGGGGGGTACTTGAAATTTTCGGGGGCGGGGGTAGAATTTTCGGGGAGGGGGCGGACACTGGAAAAAGTATATAATTATATTTCGTTGAATGGGACGGTAGACATGTTTTTTTTTTGGGGGGGTGGGGGGTGGGGGGGGGGGCGGTGTGTGTGGAGGGGGTGGTGTGTGGGGGTGAGGGGTGGGGGTGGGGGTGGTGTGTGGTGGGGGGTGGGGGTGCGGGTGGTGTGTGGGGGTGGGGTGGGGGTGGTGTGTGGGGGGGTGGGTTAGTTTTAGTTTAGAGAAAAGAGACAGCACTATCAGCCTAGCGCCCGTTGTACATATATATATATACATATATATATATGTATATATATATATATATATATATATATATATACATATATATATATGTATATATATATATATATATATATATATATATATATATATATATATATATATATATATATGTATATATATTATATATATATATATATATATATATATATATATATATATATATATATATATAGATGTATATATATATATATATATATATATATATATATATATATATATATATATATATATATATATATATATATATATATATATATATATATATATATATGGTGACAGCACATGATTTCAGGCTAAAATATCCCAGTCAAAATATAACAGGGACAAATTTACTCAGGACGAAATATAGCACGACAAAAGATATCATGGGAAAAAGTATTTTAGTCAAAATGTCTCAGATAAAAATATGCCCCGCTATCCTCAACACAATCCCAATGCCTGTAATCACTATTGGATTAGACCAGGGGTCTCCAAACTACGGCCCGCGGGCCGAATGCGGCCCGCGATGTCCTCTCATCCGGTCCGCGGAGATCTTTTAGTCCACGGAAAAAAACGTTTGTTGATGATGGCTGAGGAACTTTGTCCAGAAAAAATCAAAGACATGACTGGAAGAAACTGGCCCTCGAAGTGAAATTTGATAGTTAATGCGGCCCTCGGACTGAAAAGTTTGGAGACCCCTGGATTAGACCTTTAAAAAACCAACAATCGTATCAGTTTCAATATTTTTCTAAAAGAAGTAATTCACGTAACGTCACGTTTCTCAACGTCCCCTACCCCCACCCCCCCCCCCCCCCCCCCCCCGTCTCCAACCCGTTACCACACCACGTAATTAACCCTATTGTCGTTCGAGGTCACGACCACGAATCTTAACGGTTTTCTATTCACACGAAAGGTCAACGTGATATTTCTATCATACAAGACTGCCTTGCGAATAATTTGGAACTGTTGGGTTTTAGATTACAGTAATTAACTCAAATCTAAACATTGTTAAGCACGATGATATAAGATATAATTTTAATTTTAGCATTGTTAATTGGCAATTAAAGACTCACCTTAAACTTGATTGATGGCTTCTATGAGTGCAGACTAACCTGCCGAGTACCTTCAAGTACCTGCTGTGGATTTTGCGGGGCACATAGTTGACGTTATTAGTTATAATGATATTAAAGCTCAATTTTACTCTTACAAACAATTTTAAATATTTGTTTTTTTTCTCCAAAGTTATTTACAAAATGTTAAAATATCTATCCCCCACCCCCACCCGTAATACATTTTTTCACCCTAGTTCCATAAAAAAAAATATTGGGATCTTTTTTTTTCTCACAAATTACGTCAAAATGTTGAAATTAATATTTTATTTTTTCCCAGTTACGTCAAAAATGTTGAATATAAATTGTGTAGTCGTGGGAGACGGGTAAGTACCTACCACATGTTCTTTGTTTGAAAAGGATATCGTCTTTAAGTAAGTACCTATCACACGTTCTTTGTTTGAAAAGGGGATAGCCTTTATTTAAGTAATTATCACACATTCTTTGTTTTAAAAGGGAACGTCTTTATGTTAATCAGTCAGGGCGTGCTTGATAGTTATGTTATATTGTTTATTTGTTGTCGAGTCGGTGATATAAATATTTTATGTTATATCGGTGTGGTGTAGTAGAAATTAGTATTGTGCAAAATAAGGGTGGGTAAGAGTATGCCCGACTTTGTTGTATAACGAGTGTACAGTGCCGGCGCCAGGTTATTTAGCGTCCTATGCAAAGCTTATTTAAATTCACCCCCCCTCCCCCCCCCCCCGCAATTTATTCTCTCTCAGCAAAATATTTTCGCCGGACATCACATCAGAATCTGCAGCGTTTTCTGAAGAACTTTATACGGACTTTTGGTGAAAATAATACGTTAGATGTTTTAAATGTATAACCACAATTTTATTTAAAGAAGAAAAATAAAAATAAAGGCGTATTCGAATGTAGAAAAACAGTTTTAATTATGTAACCGGAAAAAATGTTTATACTTGGGACAAGAACGCATTTAACAATGACGTCGCTTATTGTTTACACTTTAAAAAGAGCACGAAACTGATGACGTCATCTTCCGAGTTTAGAATAAAATAAAGAAATTAACTATTTCATTCAAATATGATTTAGAGCTAGATTCTACGTACGCTATGAAATGTATACAATACGATTTTCTCGGCCTAAACTTTTAAAAGTTTTTATATTATCTATTTGGATTCTAGATATAGATCTAGATCTCGATTCTAGAACTAGACTAGATCTACGGAAAAACTAGACGTAGACGCTAAGATCTGGATTTAGACTAGAATCCTGATCTATCTACTAAATACAACAGAACTACCATTGAACAGCCGGAGTTTTAAAGGAATCATTTAAGTCACTTAATCAGTGTGTGCCTGTGTTATGTTAAATGTGTCGGATTATTAGCTAATTAGTTATTTCTTTGCTTTGTCGGTAATATCATTCAGAGTGCAGTAATGCACATTACGTTTTGACCAATAACTATTTTATAAATTATTTTTGTCAAACAAATTCAATATTTTAAAATATATAGGCCTATAATTCACGTGAAACGGGCACCGATGGCTAGTATATATATATATATATATATATATATATATATATATATATATATATATATATATATATATATATATATATATACACGAACACAAATACATACACCCGCACACACACAGACACATGTGGGCTCATGCATAATTGTGGCAATACTTCCCGGAATTAGTTCTCCCAGTTAGACCTAATGAAAAGTTTTTTTTTGTTTTTTTTTTGTTGGTTTTTTTTTGTTAATTGGATTAATTAGACCCCTCGCTGGTGCTTAGTACACTTTGGGTTGTGTGGGTGGTGTCAAGGGTGATCACATGACACGTAATCACGTGGCATCGTACCACGTGACATATTGTTACTTGATTTTTTTATCTCAAGGAATTTTATAACACATTTTTAAAAATTGAGGTTTTATAATTTGACATTTTATCATGTGATTTTTATCATATGCCGTTTAAATCATGTGACACGGAATAGCGGCGATCCACAGACACATCATGAAAGCAACTTGTCAATGGCATCACATCATGACGTCACCTTGTCAGTGACATTACGCACCAATTAATGGCGTCACTTTGTAAGTGACATAACATAATGACGTCACCTTGTCGGTGACATTGACGTGCGCGAGCGTTAAACTACTGTATAGACGTGCGTTATCAATCACTGAACTCGTTAGCTAATTAATTAATTAACGAGTGACGATTGCTTCGTACCACACGATCGGTCACCATTATGGTCACGACAAAGACTTTGAATAAACCACACAAGTTTAAGTTGGATTAGACGTACCTAACCACGTAACCCCTGGTTTGTTGGTTGGTTTATGGTTAGTTTAAGGATTACGTGGAGGTAAGGTTACATCTACCCCGGAAGTCTCGAAGAAACACTGGTGTCACGTGATTGTGTAACGAACAGGACTGGCTGTTTTGATTCTGATTTATTACCGTCTCTTGATGTACTGCCCCTGTTTTCGTTCACCCCCCCCTCCCCAATTACAGATCCATCCCTTGATACTAAGAGCTGGCAGAGTGTTTTGTAAGTGCACTGTGCCTGATCGACATGGTGGTTGGGGGAGGGGGGGGGGCGAATTGTGTGCTACACAACACTCTTCAATGACTGTACTTCCGGGCGGGCAGGCTGGCCCAGCTGTGTGTTGTTGACTGGTGTGTGAGTCGTGTGTATGTTGTGGTTAATATATATATATATATATATATATATATATATATATATATATATATATATATATGCTAGTAAATCAGCTGACTTGTGGATGATTGTTGGAGGGGAGAAAGGGCGGTACTGTAATATGAAACACATGTTGACGATAAAGAAAAGTGGTGGTGTTTGGGGGGGGGGGGGGGAGGGTCAAACATCCTTTGATCACCCAAGCGTTCTGCTCAATTAAGCATTACGTGTCAACGTCTTAAGCTCCATATAGGCTGTTAACTTTGATTTCGGGGTGATTTTCTTTCTAGGCCTGCTTCCATAGCAATTGTCAACCCAAGAACATTTTGATTTCGGAGTTATCTCTCCTAGATGAGCAATGTATCTTCCATACTTTTTTTCTTTGAAGGGGGGGGGGGGGCGGACGGACACGATTAAAAGTATATATCTTCTATATAAATTCCATTTCGTTCGGGGGGGGGGAGGGGTGGTAGACTTTCTTTACCCACTCGACAACGCTGACCTATTAATTCGATTGGTTTCTTATTGCGATAGTTATTATTGATTTAGGTAGAACTTCGACACATGATTTCTATATTGTGAGAATCACCGTGAACAGAAGATGTATCTTGTGAGAACCTCTATCATGATTTCTATATTGTGAGAATCATTGTGTACACAAAATGTATCTTGTGAGAACCTCTAACATGATTTCTATATTGTCACAGAGCGGTAGGGAAAGTAGCCATGGTGCAACGTTTTTGTGAAGGCTCATTCCGTACAGAGTATGTCCCCATAGTGTAAGTAAATAAATAGTAATACAAATTTGTTTTTTTTTCCATTTTGTTTAGAGATATCTTTTTTTTCATTTTTTTACAGATTTTTTTCTATTTTGTTGACAGATTGTTTTTCCATTTTGTAGACAGATTTTTGAAAATATTGTTGACAGATTTTTAAAAAAAAAAATTGTTGACAGATTTTACCACAACACCATTGAAATGACAGTGGATAAAAAGAAGGTCAGCCTAGGCCTGTTTTCTCAACCTGGTCAAGAAGATTATGACAGGCTGAGGCCTCTGTCATACCCTGTAGCTGTGAGTGGTTACTTAAGTAGTGGTAGCGCGGCTGGTGTTGGTTTAGTGGTAGTGGTAGTGGTGGTGGTGTTAGTTGATTTGTGGTGCTGGTGGTAGTGCTGGTGGTGTTGGTTTAGTTGTAGTGGTAGTGATGTTGGTTTTGTTGTAGTAATAGTGGTAGTGCTGGTGGTGTTGGTTTAGTTGTGGCTGGTGGTGCTGGTTTAGTGGTAGTGGTAGTGCTGTTGGTGTTGGTTTAGTTGTAGCGTGTAGTGAACGAGTGAGGGGGGGGTGAATTGGGGTGAATGTTGTTTGCACTGTATACCCTATCCCAGGGTCTCCAAACTACGGCCCGCGGGCCGGATGCGGCCCGCGAGGTCATTTTATCCGGCCCGCGACAATCTTTTTGTCCACTGAATAAATGTTTGTTGGAGGTGGCTGAGGAGCTTTGCACAGAAAATTCAAAACAATTTTAAAATGTAGCTTTGGGTGGAAATACAATTACTCGCTGTGTTGCAGACATTGGTGAAAACATTGCGACTCAAATAGTGAAAACTTCAAGCAAGTTTCGCCATTTTTCACTTGCAATGGATGAGTCGCTGGACAGCTGTTACACCTCTCAACTGCTTGTGTTCGTTAGAGGTGTGGATTAAGACCTGAACATAACACAAGAGCAGGCTTCCCTACATATAATGTATGGCACTGTTACCGGAGAGGATATCTAACCATAGATAGTTCAAAGACAAACACAAAATCGCAAGATTTAACATATTTCACATCAGTAAGATTGCTAATTTTGCGAGAAAATTCAGAGTATCTAAGAAAAGAATTAGGTGACTTCCTGATAGTACAGGCATGTCACAGCCATTATTGTCTGATGAAGAGTGGGTATATAAATTGGCCTCTGCTGCAGTCATAACCAGTCATTTAATTTTTCTGAACCTAAAACGGCAAGAGAGGGAAATCTAGTTTCTGATCTATACACCCACCTAAAGGCCTTTAGATACAAACTTGTCATGTTTTTGGAACAAGTACCGGCTAACAACTTGACACACTTTCGGCAGTGCAAGGTCTTTACGGCTGAAACAACCACTGAGTTATCCACGTCATTTACATACGAGATCGTTAAAGACCTACAGATGCAGCTTCAGTAGCGATTTTCTGACTTGGATTCAAAGGCAGAAGAAGTGAGACTGTTTCAAAGCTCATTTAAAGCAAGTGTAACCAGTTGCAAAGATGAACTGCAGCTGGAGGTCATTGAATTGCAAGAAAATGACTTCCTTAGAGACACGTTCATAGAAGGGCGGATGGGTTTTCATACGTTTTTGCACAAGGAAAACTTCCCTAACATTAAAACTTTTGCATCAAAGTACCTATCAAATTTTCGAACAACATGCCTGTGTGAACAAACATTTTCAAGAATGAAATACGTGAAGAACAATTTGAGAGCAGACGTGGACCTCAGGTGGGGGAGGGGGGGAAGGGGGTGGACACTTGAAAATTGTATATATTTCTATATAAAATATAGTTCGTTGGGGGGGGGGGGGCACGACCCTGAAGAGATGCCTTAAAGAAACTCTGGCCCCCGAACTGATATTTGATAGTTAATGCGGCCCTCGGGCTGAAAAGTTTGGAGACCCCTGCCCTATCCCGTTCGTTATTGTTCAATTCTCGTGCTGTGAGTTGTAATAGTCCGGTTTGTACCAGTTTATGAAAGGGTATATAAGGTGTATGAAAACGTGTAGAGTTGTAGAGCGACATTAATGTCACACCTATGTATACACTGGGTTGTATAATTGACCTAAAGTGACCGGACAGTGGTGTATGAAGTTGAACCCACCCCGAACTGATCTGTTAAGTACATGTAGAAAAACGCGTAATTATGTACCAAAGTACCATGCCACCAGAAAATTATCTTTTTAAACGTAAAACTCTGTGAATATTGTTTTTGCAATTACTAGTAAAAAGGTGTGTGATCAATACAGTGATCTAACCCATACCTATCACTATGTTAAAAATGATCTTTAAAGAACACAAAGAAGCAGTAGTTAATTAAAAATATATGATCTGAACTAGAAGACCGATATTTAGTTAAATGTAGGCTGTTATTCCGAATGTTTTTCTATTATATCGAAAAGCGTGGTTTTATACCAACTCTGATTTTAAAAACTTTCATTACACTGTAATACTTTAGCATTTATGATGACGATATATTAAATTCTGATTATAGACAAAAACATTTTGTAAACACTAATAGTGTTAAACAATTTACTTATATTCTAAAGTAATTATCTATTTGTTTTGACATTTATAATTAAATGTGTAGATATATACATATTTATGTTAAGAGTGTGCATATTTCCCCTTTTTCACTTGTCTTAAATAATTTCCCAGGAATTATTATGTAAAAAATTTTTTTTTACAAGAATTACGTTACGTTCATTGTTTTTGGTTGTAGTGTGTATATATATATATATATATATATATATATATATATATATATATATATATATATATATATATATATATATTTGTTTTGTTTAGATTGATACAATTTTTGTTTTGTCGGCCTACATTGAGTGTTTTTTCTTATTTCTTCAGAGTGCTACTTTCAATTTATTTTACATCATACTGAAGTAATGACATACAGCTAGTAATTATATATATATATATATATATATATATATATATATATATATATATATATATATATATATATATATATATATATATATTAAAAAATACAAATATATAGAACGTATTAAAAATTCGGCGTCTTAACGAGTTAAGTCAAGTTAGACTTAGGGTGCCATGTAACCTTCAATCAATTAATTCATTTCACACCATGAACATCCTACACATTGAAACACCTAACTTTGAACAAACAATCACCTTCTACTTCTTCACCATACCATTCCACAACTGATACAACACCTTATGAATACATTAAACAAGGAAGTACATTACTGTCATTTGCCCTCTCTCTGTTATGATTTCACTCTTGTTATTTTTATTTCATTTTAAAACACTGTTGCACACACTGTTAGCTATCAAATACAGTATGCCATCTGTATGTGTATTATATTAGATTTAAGATGCACTTACACGTAGCTATTTGCAGCTTTATAAAACAAAATCTATTTTATTATTTTTTTTCATGGACCTTGTTACTGACACAAGACTGGGGGAGGGGGGGGGGGTCGTAATTTGAATGTACTTAAAAATTAAAATTAAAAAGACCACTATCATAACATTCCTAGATATATTTTAGAGAAATTATTTATAAATTAGGTTGTTACTAAATTAAAATGTTATCTTTTCTTAGTTAAGAGCAAAGCTAGGTTTACTATTTTGTTTATTTTAGATAAGCTAATATATCAGTAGATCCAATTTAAAGTATCAAATTAGACATTGATCTACTTTTAGCATTATAAGAGAATATGTCACAGTTATATGCCATTTTATATAAGGGGACAACAACATATTTGTGAAACTTTATATTTGTTATTGTTGGATAAGGTTTTCAGTCCAATTTTGAATCATAAGATTATATGATGGATGATATTTTTTAAATAGATTTCTTTTAACCACATGGATTTTTATAGAGCTTTCTTTTGATTTATGTTGTTGATGTTTACATTTTGAGTTATAGTGATTTTTTTCATACCTTATATCTGATTTGTTACTTTATGTATGCAATACTTTATATATTTAAAAATTTAATTTTTAGTTTGCTATTTTTATATATTTTAAAACTACTGCTCAAGTTGCCTTAATTTATGTGTATTTTCCTTTCTCTCCAATGATTTAGGACTGTTTCATTCTCTGTTTCTCATTGTGTAACAAAGCAAGCGCAGACAACATCGAGGCAAAGGTTAGGATAAGATTTTAGAATAACAATTTGTTTAACCTCAGATTTTTTTTACATGCAATTATGTTTTCTTTCACAAGTGTATATTGTATAAGTTTATCAAGCATCTCTTGCGATGCATGTTTGCTTCTGTTGGGGTTAGCAGTTTTAACTTCTCTGAAGGAAGTTGTACTTTGCCTATTACACCATCAAGTTCGATTTTCACGTTTGATTTTTAGAGAATTGTCTAAATCTAGTGTTGAATAGATCAATCTGCAAGGAATCCTTTCATGATGGTGTATTTCTGTGTGTTTAAAAACATCTCAGTTTAGCTCTACTTCAGTTGTAACATTTAGACCGATATTGATAGCTCAGTCGTAGCATGATTCTTGTAGAAAGCCACTATTGTATCAAGGTGGGTTTGTGTGATACCACTTTAAGAGTTAGGACTAGGGTCAGGATAAGAACTAGGAAAAGAATTGACTAAAAAAATATTTTTAAAAATTGATTTAAAGGGGTAGGGGAAAGGGTAAAACTCCATTTTAGCGTAATTTATTCCCCGCTTGTCGTTCACCTCCAGTTTAGCGTATTTTATTATAATAACCGAAACACACCAAAACATTAGAAAAATGTATTTATTTGTATTGTATTTTTGTTTTCACAAATGAATAAAATGAATGTTTAAAACACACGACTTATTTATTTGTATTGTATTTTTGTTTTAACAAATGAATAAAAAACAACAAAGAGACTGACTGAAGTGCTTTATTTGTTGGTTACAAAAATAGAGATGCACACTTTGTACAATTAAGTGTTCCAATTTCAACTAAACTGAATGAAAGTATTAAAAGGCACAATGATGCTGCCGACAGTGGGCCGGGGGTGAAATTTGGTGAGGGATGGCTTGGAGTGTTAGAGAAAGTGCGACAACTCACGTTGTCATTTTTAAAAAAAATAATGTTAGAGGTCGTCCATAAATAACGTCACACTCGTAGGGGGAGGGGGGTCCGTAATTTTGTGACGGTGTGTAATGAGGGGAGGGAGGGGGGTTCAGATGGTGCTACGTCATTTTGGGGGGGTCTTGCTTTTTTTGACGACACGCTTTTTTAAAAACAATTTTTACCTACCCCCTCCCCTCTGTTACAGGTTGTCACAAAAAGTCAGACCCCCCCCCTAAAATGACGTCACACCTCAGCCTACAACCCCCCCCCCCCCCCCCCCCCCCCTCGCCTCAAAATTTCTTTTGAATTTTTCTTAAAACCGATAGTTTTTCCAAAATCTTGTCAGAACTCTGTCAACATCGAGTATTTTGATCAATTCCTATTACAATTTATTAAAACCGTTTTCTAAAACGCGAAATAACGGCTAAAACACGTTTTTCTAACATTGCTTTTTTATAATGCAAAAAAGTGACGTCACACCATATGAAAGCCCACCCCCTCCCCCTCATCACACACCGTCACAAAATTGCGGGCCCCCCCCCCCTCTCCCTTACGAGTGTGACGTCATTTATGGACGACCTCCACATCATTTTTTTTTAAAGTCAGAAATTTACTCATACAAAAAATCATACTTGATACATATATCAAAATATTGGGAAGGATGGTAGATTTACTATGAATTTAAATAACATACAACTCTATATTAAAAATGTTTTTTTTCAGTTTTCGCAAAATTGTCAAATTAAAAAACACAGAGTTTATACATTTATTGCATAAATACAAAAAAAATATAATGCAGAATAATTAACAGTGTATCAGTTTCACCATGAGACAAATGCCTTTTTTTTTTTAAAAATACAATACAAATAAACAAGTCGTGTTTTTTAAATATTCATTTTATTCATTTGCTAAAACAAACACACAAAACAAAAAATAAATCGTGTTTTCCTAATGTTTTGGTGTGTTTTGGTTGTTGTAATAAAATACGCTCAACTGGAGGTAAACAAGCAACGGAGAATAAAATACGCTAAAATGGAGTATTACCGGGGAAAGAACCTATTTATGAAAATTGACTTTAACGGGTAGTGGGAAAAATCTATTTTTAAAAATTGACTTTAATGGGTAGGGAAAAGAATCTATTTATGAAAATTGACTAATGGGCAGAGGAAAGAACCTATTTGTAATGACTCAGTTAAGTTCAGTGTATAGCTGGAACAGGTAAAGGTGAATTTAAAAAGGGGCATAACTTATTTTTTAAGAAAAGTGTACTTAAGCCCCTTTTTAATTGGGTTTCTCAAATAATGTCCATATAATAAAGTATCAAATATATTATCTAACTTGTATAACCACAGTCTCCATATCAAAATTAGACAGCATGAACACACAAAAATAATAATGTATCATTAAAAGTTTGAAATTTGTGCTTTATCCCTCTAGTGGTACCCAGAAATTCACTATCACTGTCCCTATGCACCCATCATTCTAGTGGGCACAAAGCTAGATGTCAGGCAAGATAAGGCAAAGCAGACTGATGGTAAAAAGGTAAGAAATTATTTGTGATAGCTTTTGATAAACATGGGATAGGCAGAAAGGTATTAGAACCCGACCCCACCAGTGTTTCTTCCAGCCTTTTTTCTCCGGGGGGGGGGGGGGGCACTTGAAATTTTCGGGGGGGGGGGGGCGGTAGACTTTCTTCGGGGGGCGGACACTGTTAAAAGTATATATTTTCTATATAAATTATATAAATTTCATTTCGTTCGGTGGGGGGGGGGGGGGTAAGAATTTTTTCGGGGGAACTTCGCCCCCCCCCCCCCCCGAACAGATGCCTGGAAGAAACTCTGGACCCCACGTCTTTTGGACTCCTTTGAAATAGCAACGACGTTATGATAATTTACAAATGGTGAAGAATGTGTTTGTGTCTATTTCAATTCATTGTTAACGTTAACTTGGTCCAAAGCAGAATTGTTCCACAAATGTTATGCATAAAAATGCTCAATTTATTTTGTGGGTCTGTCCGTTGTTTCTTTTTTTTATACATAGTGTACGTTATACTGACTGGAAATATATTTATTATCCAAGGTCGTGTCTAAATCAGAAGGGGAGAAAATCGGGAAATCTATCAAAGCCAACAGGTACCTAGAGTGCTCTGCCTTGACCCAAGAAGGACTAAAAGACGTTTTTGAAGAAGTGGTTAGAGCTTATCTGTACAAAAAGCCCAAGCACAAAAATAACGGCAAAGGATGTGTTACGTTATAGTTTTGTTTTAAATTATTTATTTGATTCATTTCTCCAACTGTTTTTATTAAATAGTTTTATTTTACTTTGAACCAAAAGATGCTGATTTTTTTTCAGCATTATCTTTTAGAATAGGCAAATTCTAAACATTTAAATAATTGGTAAATGCTTGAAATCTTAAACGACATTTTAAAAATTTGATATTTCATTCATCACCCTAAAACTAACTTTTTTTAAAAAATCTAATAAAAGTTAGATTTTTACTACCTGTTTTGCTGTGAGGGTTATGGTCGGGATTAGAGAAACAGTTGTATCAGGTTGCATTAGGTGTTTGATACTTGTAAACATTTTGTTTGCATTTTAATAAGTAAAATATTTTAAAAAAACAATTAATTTTCAGCAAAAATATTTTATTGTCTTAACTGCATGTTATTCTGCCTACAGAATTTACTTTTGATTTAGTTTTTGTTTAAATATGTTTTAAATATTTAAATACACCAACAGTATTTATTATTGAAATATGTGTATGAACCAAGATGAATGCTGATGTTTTTGACAGACTTAATGTAATTGAATGTGTATAAAAAAAAATTTCCACCGAGCATTTACTCTGACTTGCCTATTTGCCCATGTGTAAGATTTTTGAGCAAGCCTTATTTTCTTTGTACTGACTGCTCTTAGGTTCACACATTTCAATGTTTATCTGGCAAACTGCTGTGTATATACTATTATAGAGTAAAACTATTTGATACAAATGACTTTTTTTCATTATTTGATACATATAAATTTAATATTTTTAAAATTATAATTTCAATCCAATCAAACTAATTCATAAAATACTTAAATCATTGTTTATTGATGAATAGTTTTGTTAATTTTTATAGAGATCTGTACTTTATTTTATGTATATATTTTTTAAACACACCTTTAAATGTGTATAGCAAATCATAAAAGGTAATTTTGATGGTTACGAACAAAATTTAAACCATAAAACACAATATTAAAATATGTAGGTGGATTTTAAAATTCGCTTAAGGTAAGTTTGCCTGGGTTGATAATCATCCATTTAAATCAATCAATCAAACAATCAATCAATGTGACTTACTTTATTTTGCATGAATTCAAGACACTTTGGTATGTCAACTATCTTTATTATACATGTTTAGAATAATTATTCTATTTTCTAAATTAACATTAAATTTAATTTTAGATAAGTATCACTTTTTGTGTAAAGTATCTTGCAGGCTAAGATTTTATGGTCAAAACTTTCCCTAGATATAAAGATCCAATAAATCGTGGTATGAGTATAAACATGTAAGTTAGGGTACAGTTAGACGATTCACTATTGATAATGGTAGTTGCAAATTCATCAAGTCATTCAGTCTTAGCTTGTTGTATGGTTAGCTTGATGTGGTAAGATGGTCATTCATTGGACACTATGGCTACACACACCTAGGCTAATGGGTTCTCCTGATACTTAGGCTACTGATATCTAGGCCAAGGAGTTCTAATGACACCTAGGCTACTGACACCTAGGTTATTGGCACCTAGGCTACTGAGTTCTACTGATCCATAAGCTACTGACACCTTGGCTACTGGCACCTGATGCCTAGGCTACTGACACCTAGTATACTGACACCTAGTCTACTGACACCTGGGCTACTGACACCTAGGCTAATAACACCTTGGCTACGGACACCTAGGCTACTAACACCTTGGCTACTAACACCTGATGCCTAGGCTACTGAAAGCTAGTCTACTGACACCTAGGCTACGGATACCTAGGCTTCTACCACCTTGGCTACTGACACCTAGGCTACTAACACATTGGCTACTGACACCTGATGCCTAGGCTACTGACACCTAGTCTACTGACACCTAGGCTACTGACACCTAAGCTACTAACACATTGGCTACTGACACCTGATGCCTAAGCTACTGACACCTAGGCTACTGACACCTAGGCTACTGAGTTCTTCTCTGAGCTATTCCCTCCAACTGCCCTCAGTGGTAAACCATCTTTCTTATGACCACCCCCTCCCCCCTTCTGGTCCCATGTGGTTGTCCAAATATGATGTCTTACTCCTAGAGGAGAGGGGCATTGAACTCCAGTGACAATGTATGTTGAGGGGCCCACTAATAAATACGAAAAAAAAATCCTGTTTTTGACTTTAGGCTTTTGACAATTTGTGTGTTGAGTATCATAAATTGTGACATTAAATAAGGGACGCTTCTCACTTAAGTGACAATATTGGATGCTGGAGAAAGAAAGATGAGTTTGTTTGAAAATGCATGACCTCATTTATGAACAACCTATAAGCCGAGTGTGTTCCAAATGAATAGAATAGTCAGCGGTGCCTTCTCTAGGTTACACAATTATATGATGGCCCACAAATTTCATCAATTTCTTGTATTCCTATTAAAAATTTACTGCGCTTCTTTTATAGCTTTTAATCAGAGAATCATAAATCATTTCGAATAAGTTGTTTGCCTTGTAAATCGTCAAATTTAATTTGTTATGCATTTAAGATGTGATCAATTCATAAAAATACTTTTTCACATAGTTCACTACTCTTTTTTATGTTAATTGATACGTTCTTTTCTTATATAATTCATCTAAAGTATTAATTGTGTTCACAAGAGCATATTGAGGACAATTAATCCTTGTGGAGTGAAAAGTAAAAAAGTAAAGTTCCCTTTCGAACATGACGATCTATAGGGCAAATGAAATAAAGTTCACTTGTTTCTGTGACCTCGGCATATGAAGAGATAGTGTGGTCAGCATTATGCGTTTATGCCTAGCCGCCTTTACTTTCCCTAACATGAGTTAGGTACCCATTAGAGTTGGGTGGACTCAGGGATGGTCTACTGACTTGAACCCTGATTCGAACTCGAGACTTACAGGTTAGCAGTCCAGTTCTCTACCGCTAGACCACTCCGTCCCTGTGGAGTGAAATAGTGCAAAAATATGGACTAGTTTATAAGCCATCCCTACTTATTCATATCATTAACATCACAGGTACTTCATCCCTAATCTTAAGGGCTGTAGTGCTCTCATTAACAATATTTACAAGTGATTATGGTTTGCATGTGGTTTTTTACTAATGATAAGAATTGAAAATCTGATGGCTGTGAAAATGTAAAAAAATGTGCTGCATTGAAGATTGTGTGGAAGATGAAATTAGGGTGAAACAGGAATGTTTTTTAATAGCGCTAAACAGTGTTTTTAGTAGAACCAAAATGTTTTTTTCTGGGGACCAAAATGTTTTTAATGGAGCCAAAATATTTTTAATGGGATCAAAATATTTTTATTGAGATCAAAATATTTTTTTTTTATTGTGACAAGATGTTCTTATTGGAAATATGTTTTATGTTGAATCAAAATAAATCTTTTGAGACCAAATTGTTTTTAGTGGAACCAAATTTTTTTAAACTGAAATCTGATTGTTTTTAATAAACAAAAGAGTTTTTAGTGAGATAACAATATTTTAGTAAACCACAAAATTTAGTTTAGTGGGCCTGAAATGTTTTGGTGAAAACAAACTGTTTTCATTGATTTTGATATATTTTTAAAAATTTTGTCTGTTTAAAATTTAAGAAATAATTGTTTCTATGCTATTTATTTGCTCTGACAGTAATTAAAGCAATGAAAATAATTATTTCAAATATGTTATACACTTCCAAAATATAAATGTTTAAACGGTTTTAAAAATTTAAACAATTTTAAAAAATTATTGCTGTATTTTACATTAGTTGTATGTATTATAACCTCAAACATTTGCTTTATCTTTCTCGAAAAAAAACCCAAGTATCATTATAAAAATGAATTAGGCCTTAAAAGTTTTTCCCCTTCTCTGCCTTGAATTTATGCAAAAATAAATCTTAAACCAAAGTATTTTTGAGTATACTTTTGTGCTTCATGAATAAATCGTATAGATAAAGACATCTCAGAGCGCATCACTGAAATGTGTAATTAAAATGGAATAAGTCACTACATGTGTAATTAGTTCTTGTTACGTTATGTACTAATTTTTTGCATAACTCACTTCAACTCATTATATTAAACCATGACAAAATTATCATTCAATTCATCAGCATAGTCAAAATTACTGTACTTTAATAAACCCTGATTGGATGTTAAGTTGAATGGGAAGATCAAGACCGCTATAACTTTGTATTGGAGCTAGAGCAATAGATCATGTACAGTGGCATTTGCAGCAGTCTATAGACTTAAAGCTTTGTAGGCTACATGACTTGTATGCAGGGGTCGTCCATACATTTTCTTTGTTCTTAATTGTAATGTTGGAAGGGATTTCCTCCAACACAATTAAGTATTACAAGTCAACTTGTTATGCACCACGTAGGTCGTTGAATCCGATTTCAGCCTGTTTTTTTTCTGGATTCGCTTCCTTAGCCTTTGTCTAACCAAGAACAAACTACAAGGCAGCAGTTGTTTGATTTTGGAATTGTCTCTCCTTGGTGGGTTGCTGTACCCAGATGTTGAGACTTATCTACCCGGGGGTTCGAACTAGGGACTTTTCAGCTTAGCAAACATGTGCCCCGACCACACAGACCCCTCGTCCATATATGACCTCATATATTTTAGCCTGTTTTTATACTCCACCCCCACCTACACACACTCTTTTTCCAGAGTTTCTTTCTGGCATCTCTTTGGGGAACGTCTATATCCCCCCCCCCCCAATCCCACAAACAAAATACAATTTAATATATGAAATGGGTACTTTTAACAGTGTCTGCCCCCCCCCTTCCTGGGGAGAAAAAGTCTGAAAGAAACACCGACATTATCCTCACTCACAAAAGCATCATAACTATGTTTTTATTTTATTTCTTTAATGCACTTTAAAAACAGCAAACATGTGTGCTGGTGGTATGTCAGATTTCATTAAATCCCCAACCCCCTACCTCTAAATAACACATCTTCATAAAAGTTTGAATCCTACCCCTTTGTAGTATGACTTCATCAATGGACGACCCTCGATAATATATCATTCTTGAATCTAGATCTAGGTGAGAAGAATTGCAACAGAAACAAAATATGTTACTTGTACATTTCTTAAATGATTATATTCGCCGCAGCATTCTAAAATGTATTGTTTGTAATTTTTTATAATATAAATTATAGTACCCATGATACGATTTAAAATAGCTAGGTCAATCAAACACAAATAGTGAAAAATCTTATTTGGACCTAGAATCTTAGGCAACATTCTGGTAAAACAGTTTAAAAAAGAAACTTTATTAATATTTTGCTTAATTTGTGTAGACCTTTAATGCGATGCTTTATGCCCTACAGGAATAAGTCCAAGTTTCTTTTTTTCTCCATCTTCTGTGAGGTCAAAGATAGAAGTCTTTTCAGATGATTCTTGATCTAAGTGTATTTCTTCTTTTCTATTTCTATGTTTTCACTGTGGCTAAAAACAACATGCCTCAACTTATCCTTAACAAGTCAATCCAACTTTTTAACCAACACATTACCTTCAAGCTTTAGAGGGTTTCTAGAATTCTGCACTAAAAAACGTGGATATGGGCTATGCAGCTAGTAGGCTAGTAGTTTGCTGTAGTTATTAGTAGTTAAGTAATAAGGTGTGTATTGTAGACTTGTACATGAAGCCGTCCCACAAGGGCGGTAATTTAGCGACCGTGGGCTAGGACAATAACAGAAAGGTCGGGAACTGCGCCGAAAAACCGCTTTTACAACGCGAATGTTTGATTACTTAGAATAAATAATTGGAATCCAATAATTTTTTTTAAATCTAATTTTCTTTGTTCATTTTGATGTTACGAAAATTGATATTTTGACTGTATTTTTGGATTGGCCTGTTAAAAATGACTATAGTATAAACTATGTAATATAACTCTTACAAAACACAAGAAAACTAGAAATATTTTGTTATGTCCCTTTACCCATAGTTTTATACTCAATCAATTCTTTCTATAGTTCGCTCAGACGGTATTTTAAAAATTACTTTTTGAGTTACAAGTATTTTCTGTTCGGCTCGCTAGAGCGTTCGACTACTGAACAACCTTCTATATG